TTGTTTCAATACAAACGTGCGCTGTGACAATTTTGGATTTTTTTCGACTAAAAAAATAATTTCATAAATAGTTGTGATAAAATGTAGGTCATGAAGGTCATTGCCTATTGCTTTATCCCGTTGAGAAGAAAACGATAATTAAATAGATGCTGTTCACGGCAAATTTAGATCATTGTGCTGTCAAAAGCTTTTTCCCATAGAGAAATCAGTTTCCTGAATTTCTGTGCCAATGCAGAGTCAGTTTTGGAAATATATTTATTCTTTATATCATAATATGTTTAGGTAATGTTATAGTGACTTTTAGGGGCCAGATTTTGTTGTCAGATATAATTTGTCACTAGTGTCTGAACAGCAGTCACAACCTGGGAAAAGGCCAATGGATGCTGTGAATTCCGTGACGTGTCGGATGCTAGTACCCTCTCGTTGACTTCGTGTCCTGGAGCAAGCCGCCCTTTGAGTGAACTCTGCTTAAAAGCTTGAGCTGATACACAAATCCTACGGCCCGTGTTCATCGAGCGATACAATCTAAACTACAGTTTAAACTATACAGTACTGATTTGGGAAAAGGAGCGGTAACCAGACTCATTTTAACGTAAGCCATGGTTTTTGCAAGCTTCAACCAGTTGCCTAGTCGTTGCCGATCAATAGCCTTGTTCTGGATTCAAGTGGTCTCCTCGATGATTATTTTAAAAAAATGCCAATAGACTATTACACACAAAAATAAAGTAATATACAAGGTAAGTGCAAATATGAAAATGACCTGAAAAACTACACTTAAAGCTATTGTCAGGTCATTATCGATACAAAATATTTTCTGGAATTACATATTAAATACGTATTTATTTTAAAGGATTTCAATAGCCTATACCTTATATCAATGCAAAATATTCACACGATAGGCAAGGGGCATTATCTTCCCGATTTCCCCGACAGATTCCGCGCTTCCCGTCATTCATAACATAATACGCGTAACTACAAATAAAAGCGTACATGATTTACCTATGGGGGTCGAATGCCAGTCCTCTCTGCGCTTTAATCCAATCTTGTTCATGGGATCTGTGCCATATTATTGAAAAGAAAAACATTGCTCGGCGTTTCACTATACACCTTACACAGAGTGACTACAATTAGGCAGCAGACATTAATGGAGACAAACTACCTCCATTAAAGTGAAAGAAAAAAACAGAACACTTAACTTTTACAGGCAAACAGTAGTATGCAATTTTCATGAAGAACCCTAATACAGAAAATGAGAGCAGACTACCTTGAGCTTAATCTCACCTCTGCCCCCTGTTCGACCCTGCACAGAGACATTGAACTATGGCCGCCTGCCAAAACGATTGTATTACTATTAAAAGCGGATGCTTCATATAAAATGTTCGTGTGTGTCTGTGAAGGGTCCAGTACAAAATATGTTACAGTGTTTACTAACAAAGAGTTCACGCATTAAGATTCCAATTTTCATAAAAATGCGGTTATCTGAAGTCTTTTGACACTCTTGCTTACCCCACTGAAACCAGCAAATCTAAATATTTTGCTTTTTCAAAAATGGCGTTTGTAATATCAATACAGAAGCGTATTATAGTTAGGCCTATATGCCAATAAAGATTATCCATTGTTGTTGAACTTGATCTCTAATAGGTCATAAATAACTATCCAAAAGCAATCAAGATTCGAATCCCCAGATGGCATTTGTAAAACTGGAAGAAAATTAAAAGCAAGCCTTCACACATTGAATCTCCGGCTTGTAAAAAGAGATTTTATGTAGCCTAGAGATTACGCTGCGGCACGCAAGGATTAACAATTATCCATTGCTGCGTAATCCGGAAAATATCAGAACTGATAGGACTGAAAAACGATCGAGCCTTCCTATAGTGAAGTTAGGCTACCTGATGTGAGAAAAGAAACTCATACAATTCTTTTTTTTGTTTGTTTTTTTCCACAATTTAACCATAGGTACACTTTATGTAACCTGTATAAAACACACAATTTGTTCTGAGCAACCATTTACCCTAAATCCGTATTTTATGAAGTGCCTTTACTTTTCAGCAATCGTACATCAAAGTCCCCAAAATGGATAAATAATAATCCCCTGTGTTTAGTTACATCGTCTTCTGGTAAATGACTCATAATTAAGTACAGAGAAATACAGATTAGTTAGGCTACCAGAAATTAGTCGGTATCACAAAATAAATAATCAGTGACTCAAAGACCGTAACATTATTTTTTGTACTACTAAACTGAATTCACAATTCATTCATGAATTCTGGCTACGCAGAATAAGCTATAAGCCATGCAGATAGCACGAGAATTCGGTAAAAGTTAGAAGTAAAAGTTACTCTATGTACACAATGAGAAAGTCAATATAAAAAATACATCAAAATCCGAAATTAAATCCATTACAAAACAATTTATAGGATGAATGTATGAATTTCCCGTATGCACGAGGGAGACGTTATCCTTTAAATAACAATAAACTGAAAATTCATGGGCACGGGTAATAAAACTGTATAAGCGTTATCTGGATACCTGGAAGTAAGATATGTAGCCGCGGGCAAAATGTACGTGTAGTCCGTATGTCTATGTCTAAATGTCGCCACTCAGATTAAGGGTGAAGATTATTTAAAATCAAGGTCAATATCATGTCGCAACACTATATTGAGAGTTAATCAGTTTACTTCGTACTGGAAATAAATTTAGATATTTAGACCTCATTTTACGTTCCAACCAAATAAAATTATTCTTATATTAAAACGAAACTTCGGATTGTTCTCAGTATTTTTGACGGGAATCATGTATATGTATTCAGCATAACGAGGATTTCATAGTAGCTTCTGAACTCAAACTCATCCAGTTCCCTTTCGCGCAACCTTTTGTTTCTTTTCCTAGTAAGCGTTGTGTCACATTTTCATTATGTCAAGTCAGATTTATTATCCCACCAGGGAAATTTAAGTTGCAGCCAGTCATTTAAAATGGATTTCAACAAATAAATAAACGAATAGAACATTAAATACAGATACCAACATAGCGACAATGACCAATACATAATACAAACAGACCATCCACAAAACCACAACACAGACCAATTCACAGTACGCCCCAGTGCAAGATTACTACATGGAGTACATGGATGTTTCGTGAAGTAATATAAATCAATAATAATGATTTCACGAGGTGTGTTTTTCAGTAAATGTTGGCTATATATCGCGTTGCACCGCTTAGATGATCTCCTCAAAAATAATTACCGTCAATTTTAAAATGATTACCCGGAAATGAAGAGAATATTCTCTGGAAATATTTTGCAACATATTGCGAAATATTGTGTATGTGTGTGTGAGTTTTATATAATACATAATAATTAGGCCTATAGCAAAAACGCATGCGGCCTGTAGACGTGTTGTTTAGGGAATGTTGCGTCCTGAGATGGTGTAACATATATATGTTGCACTCCTGCGCTAAGGTCTGTACAGATATGCCACTATAAGTCCTGAATTCACTCCTGCCTAGTTTCTTTAGCCTATATCAGTACTCTTAAACGATATTTCGCGATAATCTTTTCTAGTGTATTCACAATCCTGTTCCAATTTGTACAGGTTAACATATATGTTATATATATTCGTTATAACTAATGTAACGTACAATAATGAAGTGTACATAAAATACTTCACAACTAAGGAGTCATCCAAAAAATGTTTGGTTTAATTTCAGGCTGTAATTTTTGTCTGAGGACAAGAACAATAATTCTGCTTTATATGGCAAAGTAAAATCTGAATGTTTTAGATGTTATTGTATTTAATTTCGGTGGTTACACTAGCACCATGACCAGATAACATGCTTCACTTCATATTATAATAAGTAGGTACATATGTTGTCCAAGCAATGCAAGGTGACTGATCATGCAAGTACCACAAATAATTGGCCTAAAGTTTCTCACACCTTTTTACTGCTGTTGTATCATGAATCCTATTGTCCTTTCCCACAATCAGATAAATCAGCTTCAGCCTGTGTTAAACCCTCTTCCTACAAAACAAGGTCGGCAGCCCTGCCTCCTGTCCAGTCTCAGACACCACAAATCCTCTCATGACTGTAGTTGCTGACAATTTCATAGGTTTCACCAAAAATTTTGTGTGGCCCAGCCAAGTTTCATTGTGGTCAATTCCTTCAGTGCTTAGTGTTTTGACTGCACAAATAACAGCCCTTAATAGGACTGATGCTAAATCCTATCCACTGCCCTGTAGGAGATGAGAATAAGGCAGAGGCTTGTGAAAATTGCCCACATTTGCTGTTTCCCAGGCTTTAGAATATCAAGTGGGAAGATGGATGGATAATGTCAGCCCTGTTACAAAATTCATAGATAAATGTTTAATTCCACTAAAACATGAACCAGAACTGAAACAAAACCAGGACACAACATGGGGTCAAAAGCTGATCCAGAAAACAGTGGAATAAAATCAATACTTAAAATTTCAATAAAATGCATCTAAATATTAAATGAGGGAGATTTATTATATAAAATGAGGGATGCCTTTTCTTCCCCAGCATGAGTAATTTTTTCTGGACTTTTCTGAACTGTCATTGGTAATGTTTCCCAATATGCTACCCATTATTCCTACAGCAAGAATGAAACAGAACAGCCACAAAGCTGTGCATCTAAATATCACACCTCCCACTAAAATGACGTCAATTCCTGCTGCATAATTAAATGGAAATTGTGCGTTTGTGTTTGTGTTTACATGAAATTACAGCCGCTGGTTAAAAAATATATCAAAATTTAAAAAAAACTATCTTGTATAAAGTCTAATGAGTAAGAAAACTAAACATTGGCAATCGATTTCAAATACAGAAATTATGCACTGTTGTAGATGAAAGCGCCATCCACGAATTAGGAGAAGAACCATCCACGACCGGAATAAAATGCATTGTAGCACTTTCAGATATGTAGTCAACCGTTGACTTATCATCTCGCGATATTACATAATGTGACTTGGTTACTAAGCAACCGCGACAGTCAATTTTGACCAAAACTGGGAAGCATTACGCTTTGCGTCGCTGTGAAGAAGTTCTAATAAAATAGAAGAAATCGCTTTGCTCCATGACAAACATGTCTTATGGGCGATTCTTTGGTAAGACTACTCGAATTTCTAAAGAAGATCAAGAATTTTACGACCTGAAACACAGAGCGGCTGAGTATTATAGGGTCAATGGAGTTCCGCAGAAGTTTGAAGCGGCACTGAACTCCATGTTTTTCGAAAAACCGGATGATGTTTACGGTTATTTGGTATGAAATACATTTTCATATTTATTCATTTGTCGGGAAATTATAAGCTATTTAAAAAGTTGATAATCTTTATTGCATTAGAAGATATGTATTTTCTACCTAACGAATAATTTCTTACCGGCTAATACTTAAAATACGTAGGCTCTATTTACTGGTGATATTTGGAGAAATTCTTCTGTTTGTATTCCTATTGACATACAATGTATAATTAGAAAAGCAAAAAGCAGGAAGCACCTCCAGATGAGTCCAGTACTGTAATTCCGACATGCCGTTTGATTTTCTGTAACGGGGAGCCTCATTTTATGTTATTTTCGGTAATAAAACATTTAGTTTCTTTCAGTCAACTTCATTTATAGCAATATTTACTTTAATATTAAACTCTGCATAACTCCAAAGAAATATTAAAGCTGAAACATTCACCTCAGTGCTCTGATGCCCAATAGTAATTGCAAATTTAAGCACTCATTTGCTCAGTGCTATAAGAACACATCTTGTAAATGTGTTTAGATTACTATTATATGAATTTCTCCAATTTCTCCAGGCAAACTATTTTTCAAGACTCTCAACACGGCCAGTGATAAGCAAGCTAAAAGGAAGCAAAGTGTATGATGGAAAGGGTCAGCTAACGGTTCAAACAGAAGTCTTGTGCACCGTCAGAAATGAAGAAAAGGTAATAGCCATTCTTATGTTTGCAGTTGTATGTGCCATGGATATTGAATAGGGGATCTCAATAAACTTTTACAAATGCCAGAAAATGGAGAAACACACAAAACTATGCAGGATTTCAGTTGTTCAGCTTAAGTATGAAAGCAAATGAGTCCATACAAAAAAGGTCAAGCATTTATTTTCCAAATTGAATGCCTTAATTATTATAATTGTAGTTTGTAAACATGAACTAAAAACAAGGACAGAAAACAAGAAGTGATAAAACAACTTAATTTCATTGTCTTTAAGAGTAGGACATGACACTACACTGAGCTGATGAGTCAAACAAGATTTTATAATATGAGGGGACAGCTATAGCAATCAGTGAAACGGGGAAGAAAACGACAACAGTGCAAACTCTCGGATTTTGTGAAATATGTTGCTGAAAGGCCATGAGAGCAAGAGGGGATGAGAAAATGCAACAACACCTCGACAGAGGGGAAAATGCACACTGCCATTAGACCACAAGCATGTCACAATGAAGCCAAGATCAGCTCATATTGTTAATGCTATGCCAAATTCTGAGTGTCATCATTTGAAAGCCATGCCATGAGATGAACAGTGAGTCCAACTGGCACATCTGATAGTAATCTACAGTGACAGAGAACATATAGGCAAGCAAGAAATGTAACACGACTGTATATTAACCCAGAAACTCCACCCTCTAACCATACTGTTGGACAGCAGTAAGCCACCATCTCATCACTGTCAGTGAGTTCCAGTCTGCCTCAGGCATCGGTGGAGAGTACGGAGCTACAGTTCAACCAGCCACCCCTCAAGGACTCAGTGCTCTGGTTTTAATGTTTGAAAGTGATTATATTCACGTTTATAGGCATTTAATCAGAATCAGAATTCACCACAAGTAAAGTAAAAATCGGAAAATTTCATGGTTAGTTTAGTGCTGTATGCCAAATGTTTATACCATGGTTATTTTGTCCACTGTTTCCTGCTCCAACAGAACACACCCAAGTGGAAATAAAAATTAGATGCCAAGAGCACACTTCCTTGATATCAGAGCATAGTCCTGTACACTGATGAGCCGAAATATTACAACTACCTTTTCATGAAGTGAATAGTGTTGACTATCTAGTAAAAATAATGCATGTCACAGTATGGGCCAGGGTTCTCCAATTTCGGTCCTCGAGGGTCAGAATTCAACACAGTCTGCAGATTTCCCTGTTCAAACACACCTACTAAACCTGGTACAATGTCACATATGGGTTAAATGCAGAGAACACATTTCATTGTTGTGCACTGTGTGCCATGGTGTGTCAACAATGACAACTAGTCACATTGTCTTCACTTCACTTGAATTAGCTGATTAAGATGTATTTGAGCAGGAAAATATGCAACTTGTGTTGTATTCTAGCCCTCCTGGACCAGAATTGGGGAATCGTGGTCTGGGGTATATAGACAGTAAGTTAACATTCAGTTCTTGTAGTTGTCATGTTGAATACAGAATAAATGGGCATGGATAAAAATATGAGTGACTTTGGGCGCTTTTCCAGTGCACTAAGTACTGTACTTTTGGTACTTGAAACAAGGTTTTGGTTTTCCACTGGCATGAACTCTGGTATTACTGCAGAATGACATAACAATGTGAGGTGGGGTATTTTATACTGAATTTGAGAAATGGCTATTGTATATTATAGGGTTGAGTAATACCAACATCATATGTTATGCACATTCAATTCTCACATCGCACATGACATGATAGTTAACTGGGTTGATATTAAGTTTTTTCATATGTTTATAGTGTCTGGACATTATAGTGTGAGGTTAAGCGTCACTAAAACTTTTTTATTTTGACATACAAAACAAAGCAAATTAAAACTGCAAGCTCTGCAGTTTTAATGATTGTTCCATTTCATGATTATCTACTATATGTTTTTTTTTTTTTTAAATCAGTCTAAAGTTTACTGCTGCTGCTTTTCCTTGAGCTCTGTATGTGCTCTTAGAAACAACCAGTCATTTTCATCCTTGTTATTTAAATCACTACTAGACAGGCTTGTGAGAAATTTATTTTTTGCTTTATATATACACCAATATTTATTACAACAAAATCGCATTGCAATATTTGATTTTTTCCAGTATAATGTAGCTGTAGTATATTATAGCAAATACTTTTTTATTTCTTGTAATGCCCTCTAGATTTTCTTCTGGTGATTAGATTGTAAATAAAGCTAGGGTCTTTTAATTTTTCCAAGCAGACACTACTATTACTTTTCTAAAATAGTTGGTCAGTTTGTAACATTTTTCAATATGGTGTTTGTATTGGTAGGCTATTTGCATAACTGATTGACAATGAGCACATTTCCAAATCCCACCCTAAAACTGAAATACCAAAAAGTATCCGAGTTGCTTTGGTACTTTGGATACTGGAAGTTTTGGTACTGGTACCAGAAGTCAGTGGAAAAGGGAAAGTACCTGTTGCAGTGGAAAAGTACCCTTAGACCAAGGCTGAACCATCATGACCAAATGACTTAGTCAGAGGATCTCCAAAATAGTAAGGCTTGTGTAGTGCTGACAATCAGCTGTGGTGAGTACCTACACAGAGTGGTCCAATAAAAGAAAAACCACTATCTGTCAGCCAGGACTTCTTGATGTAGCATGTGAATGAAGGCTATTCCGTGTGACACAAACCAACAGATGAGCTACTGTGGCATAAATGGCAGATAATTTTGATGATGGTTATGAGAGTAACGTGTTATGGCACAAAGGGCATTCAGCCCTGTTGTGTATGGGTTACATAGCCGCAGGCTAGTCACAGTGCCCATGCTGACCCCTGTTCACTATGAAATGCACATACAATGCAAGCGTCGAAATTAGACTTAGATCATTGGAAAACAGTTATCTGATCCAATGAATTCCATTTCCTGTTGCATCATGTAGGCTGGGTATGTGTCGAGCATCTGTAGGGTGTGTCTGACCGACAAGTCAGATCAATGGCGGTGTAGCTACATACGCAGCTGGGCTCCATGAAACATGCTAACAGGTTGATTGTTAGCTTATCATTTAATATATCCCATACCTTGACATGCACTGTTTTTATGAGATGGGGGTGTTTTTTCTCATCTGTGTATAGACTGTATAAAATAAAGATGCAGTCTTCATTGTCCTTTATGTCTCCAAAGTTGTAATATTTCACTATATATTTTGACATCAGAGAGTTTGCTCTGCAGTTACCTCCAGCGAGTACAACCTCACCATTAATGGAAGTGATAAGAGGGAGGATTGTGTGACGGCTGCACTCCACTGGATCGATGAAGCATTAAGCACAATGTTAAGGGGCTTTGATCCGGCTGACCAAACAGCAGTGGATAAACTACTCAGGTAATACATGCATTTTATATATTTGGTACTTTGGGTACTGGAGCTGTTGGTACTGGTACTTGACCAGAAGTCAGTGGAAAAGGGAAAGTATCAAAAGTGCCATGGTACCTGATGCAGTAGGAAAAGTGCCCTTAGACAAAGGCTGAACCATTATGACCAGATGACTTATTCAGAGGATCTCCAAAATGATAAGGCTTGTGTATTATCTGCCAACAGGGTGCTGCATGGCCGGGGTGTGTGTATGTGGCATGTATGAATATATACAGGAATTGACATAACTGGTACGCACGTACGCATTGCGTACCGGTTATATCAGGCCCTCTCTCTCTCTCTCTCTCTCTCTCTCTNTATATATATATATATATATATATATATATAAACGTGTTTCCATACATGACCTTACCAACTACACTGATACTCAGTCATTATGTAGAGAAATGTAGAACACACAAATTATGAGATTTAAGGTCCCTGGGCGCTCTGGTCAGAGAGATGCGAGCCTCTTAGCAGATTTGTGGCTTATGCTGCTCAGTCCCATTACAGGTAGTTACACAGCTATATTTATGTAAACAGTGCTGGATTTTTTGCCAGTCAATATGAGATCTGATTTATTACTTCCCTCTACAAGATACATAGTCATGAAATTACTGTGCCTACAAAAAACAGTGGTCTCATCAACAGGTTTGCATGATTCAGAAAAAACGACTCGATTAAATTTCAATTCTTGGGCTCAGGATTCAATAAAAAATCGATTCTCGATTCAATACATGCATAGATTTGATTCCAGATTGGTGTTTTGAGTTACTTCTCCCATTTGACTGTTGTAGACACTTTAATAAGTAAAGAAAAAAAAACCATGTAATCACATGTAGTTTACTACTTCTCAATGCCAACCTTGAGTAAGAGTTATTATTTTTCCTATAATCCACTTATAGGAAAGGCAGCTCTGAGATAAATGGTAAAATATCTTAATACAAAAACAAAAACTTTTGCAAATATAAATTGCAAAGTGCAAAACTTCAAGTAGCTTGAATTCAAACTTTGAATAAAAATACACAAAATCAAACAAGAGCTGCAAGATGTGGCTGTAAAGTGCTGTAATCAGATCAAACATTGCTGCTACATTTGTATGGTGTCATATCAATGTCAAAACTAGAGAGTGATAAAACAAAAAGTGAAAAATAAAAACCTACAAGTTTTAACATTTCTCGTGCGCAAATATCCCACTCACGAGCACAAATGTGAAACTTGCGAGTAATGATGTCTGATTCATCAATGAACAAATCATTATTTTCAGTGAATCGGTTGAACTGGTTTTCACATCTACAAGAATTGAACTTTTTGTTGATATTTGACACATTAACATACAAAAGCAACCTTTTTAAATGCACTTATATTTGCTCTTCTTAGACTCAGTCATGTTGCCTTCAGTGCCCTTCCACATAATCCTATGTGTTTGTGCTCTTGCTGCCTTCAAGTCCTACTAGGAAGATCCGACTAGGGAATTGGCAAATTGTAATTACGACATGACACATATTCAAATGGTTAAATTGGAGCAAAATGGAAGCTATAAGAAAGTTACTTTTTGTTTTCATTCCTCAGAGGCCAAAACGCATTTATAACGTTAATTGAACATGAAGTGTGACGCCATACATTTGGCTGTAATGTGCAGTAACTAATGGGTTGACTTTTGAAATGTGAACTGAACCGGGTGCACAGTACTTCCTAAATTCACAAAGGATTTATATTTAACCTAAGCTGTTGACAGTTTTTGGAAACATTGCAACTACAGTCCAAGCGAAGTTTGTAGTGTTTCCAAAATACTTCACCTTCGCTTTGCAAAGCCTGCATATAACATGGATCTCATCGAGCTCTTTCTTCCCCTTGAGGTTATAAAATCCAAAATGTGCTAAAACGCTTGCCTAACTACAATTTATAAATTCCAAAAATTCACATTAGAATCGCAATCGCAATATTTTTAATCGGTAGATATAGAATTGCGATTCTAATGTGAACTGATTTTTTGTCTACCCCTTCATATCAATATCCTGCTAGGTCCTTGTATGTCCAGCACCACCAAAGTAGCAATTCTACATTTGCTATAGATGCAGTGTTTCTATCTTCCTTCAATCTACTGGGGAACAGGGGCTAAAGGAATCCCCGAATAAAATGCTCCTTTTTATGCCAGCCAGTTCTCCAACATACACTTATCACAAACATTCATGCTGATAATTCCTAAAATTCTTACCTTCCAATCAGCCTGAACATTGTGGACATATTTTAGATCTCATTCTAGTAAAGTTGTAATACAGAACTAGAAGACAAATAATTTGCAGTTGTCATAAATATGAACAAACATTTTCGATGTCTGAGAAATGGATGGATTTTGTTTGGTGACACTAAGGCTCAGCAGCTAACACTGTAGCCTCACACCTCCAGGGGTACAGGCTGCTATTCCTGAGTGTTGCCTGTTCTCCCTGTGTTTAAACAGGTTTGAATAGGCAAATTTGATTTGGCATATGTTGTTTCTGACAGCTCTGGTGCTTTTTGCATAAAACCAAATATATGTTTTTAACAGTGACTTTTTTAAGGAACGCTTCCTTGAATATCAGGAGAGGCAGAGCAGAGAAACTGAGGAAAAGCAAGCTGCGGATCCTACGCATGAACCAGTCCCTCCCCCAGTGACTCCAGGACACAGAAAGGCAGGACATAAAGGTAGATGCTGTGGTGTCCACATCACATCATTCTTTAGTGGTAATTTTACATCATACATTAATTAATTGTTGTTGATTGAAACTACCAAGCTGGCACTGAAATGCATGTTCAGGTAGCCATACCAAAAAAGGTAGGTCATTTTGAGTTGGCTTTAGACCTGATGTCCAAAACCTCTTGCAAAGCTCCAGGCAAGAATTACAATTACTAGATAAACTGGATCTGACAATTATTTGTGAAGCCTATTTAAAAAATAAACTTTAATAGTTTTTGCTGAGACCAAAATGTAGAAACAATTTTGAAAGAAACTGAAAAAACAGGCTGCTGTCATATCAGTGGTCTCCTATGGGAATATATTGGAAATATATTGTCTTCTGTATATAAGCAATTCTGTACCAATTGAGGGAAATATCATATGAAATAGGCTATGCCTGATAACAGGGAAAAAGAGTAACACCACAGAGAAGCCCCTCCCACCTGCAGAGCCCCGGGTTCCCATCATCCCCGGCAGCATGGCTGTTGGTTCTGTGTCCCTGGCAATAGCCAAGGCTGCAGCCCAGTTAAACAGTGTGCCACTCTATCAGCACATCAGATCACTGCATCCCCAACAGGTCTGTGCATCCTCATTTTATCAGTCTGAATGTGAATTCAAAGGCACCTAATATCTCAGTGCTTACCATGTGCTGTAAAGAATCTTTATCTAGGTCATTTGCAGACAATAACTGTACAAGAAAGAGTTAGTTGTACAAGTCAAACGTGAAAGTGAATTTTAAGGTATTTCATATCACAGTATAGTACTCGGGTCTTTGCTATATCCATCCATCCATCCATCCAGTACAAGGTCATGGTGTATATTGCTATATGTAATATTAAAATATAACTAGGTTCTTTGACGATTTAGGCATTCAGCAATTTTCATTGTGGTCACACTTTTGTAACAATAGACTGATTCATTTAAAGAGTTACGGGGCCTTATCTTAGAAAGAGTGCAATGTTATGGACACATGGGTATTTTTAGTATCACACATTTCTCTGCCATGCCTTACCTAAACTGAAATGCTAGGTGAAACTATAGCAGTAAAATGCACTGTTTTGATGCAACAGTTCAATGCCCGTCTTCGTTTTCAGCGGGGTCTGGGAAATGTCGAGATGCCATTGCCTATGGTAACCCTGCTCCACTGTGGCAAAGCATCTCCAGGGAAGCTGAACCTGATGGAGGAACTCATTGTTATCCCAACAGCAAAACAAAGTGTCAGACAAGTACAGTCACTTACCTTCAATTCACCTATATTATGCATTCAGCTTTCAAACCTTAGAAATATATAAATCATAAATTTCTCTAATGTGATACATGACCTGCTTAACAGATTGTTGCAATGGTCCTTGAGCTTCAAAAAGAGATTACAAAGATACTGAATACAGCCTCAAAGACAGGGGTAAGAGGAATTGTGGAGACATTTACTTACATGTACATTTTTTGTGTATTTATCATATAAATAGTCTAGCAGAAGTACCTTTGGAGTCATTTTCTGAATTATTATAAACTGGATTTAAAATGTATAGACATTTTATCCTTTCATTTTCTTCACACTGAAACAACATACTGTAGAAGTGCGAAATTTACAATACTTTTTAAAATAGTGTTTTGGTTTATTTAGTACAAATTCAGTTGAAAAATTCACACAATCCCTTCCTTGACTGTAATTTTACAACAGTGTTAGGTTAATCTCTGGGTATTGTTTTGGTCATTGTTCCAGTTCTTGTTCCAATGCAAAATAATCAAGTACTGAATCTGCCGACAAAATATAATAGGCCAATAGTCAACACTGTCCAGGAAAAAAGGGAACTTCCAAAATGAATGTGTTCAAAGTGACAGCTCCTGTTCTTTCCCCTCAATTTCAGCCTGTGTTGAATACAGTGTCAGACATGGGGGCAATGGTGGTAGGATACGACCAGCCTGAGCAGCCTTTAGACCTACTGACAGAGGCAGCCAACAACCTTGGCCTGACACTGGGAGACGACATACATTTTGCAATCAACTGCGCTGCTCATGAGTTAATGGACTATGTAAGTACAGGTGGCATGAATGTAGCAGTGTAAAAGAAACAATATCTAATATATTTAATTCACTTTTCACTATCACACCAGGTTTACCTTTAGTTTTCATACATCATATTTATTTATTTGGCTTAATGTGGGATTATGTTGTTTTTTCCCTAATATAAATGCAGCAAAAAGGTAAATATGACATTGTCAGCGGCAGTGCAAAGACTCCTGATGAGCTAGTGGACATGTACAAGAATCTGACGCGCAGATACCCTGCACTTATCGCCCTGATAGATCCCTTTCGAAAGAAGGTAAAACAATGGTGACTGTAATTTACCTGCACAATGTGTGATGGATTATTCCCATTAGCCTTCTGTGAATGCCAAATTACACTGTATCAGAAAAGCTGTTTTCAAGAGTTCTCATTGGAATGTAGCTGTTAATATCTTAGAAATCAACTTTATTTCTTATAGTAGATTTGAGTCAAGCGATTAACCTATTAAAATTAAGAGTCTGATGATCGGTGGTGCAAAAGTTGAAAATGCTGTATTATGACATAAAAGCTGGAAGCTGATAAACCCTCATTACCGTATAAACACTAAAGGGAAACTGGAGATGCACATTATGTTGTTTTGATTATCTTGGAAGGCCATATTCCTCTTTTAAAAGCAAAAAGATTTGTTGTTTTTTAAATATTATGCCGATTTTGAATATTTGCAGGAAATGGTAACAAGTCACCGACAAGCTCTCAAAATGGCTCTTGCAGATCTGTCATGATACTGTCATGTTTCCGTCCAGTGTGACGGTTACTGATGAGTGTTGTGCTTCTGTATTTCTGAAACTGTCTTGCTTATGAGGGTACCACTATTTCCACTTAGGTTTCATCACGGAAATGATCTGTTTTTACTGATACTCTTCAAAATCTTAAAGCTGTATTACATGAGAATAACTAACAACAGACATTCCACCAGGGAGGTGGATGAGGGACAAACTGGGGTGGGTTAGGGGTACTGGCTAAGCTTGGGTGTTATTATGGCAATATTGTATACTGTGTTATTTTCATTCATAAATACCCCTAGTAAATCCGCTATATGCACATTGGGAGTGCTGACATATTTCCAGTAAAATCTCAGCCAGCTAAATCAAATCCACTGTCAATACTGTTGTTCTGTTTTCATCAAAAATTTATCAGAAAAATAAGTTTGTGTCACATAACTTTAAGCAATTCACACCCCTGTCCAGTTGGTGGCGAGTGTGCATATTAATGTCATATTAATGTCATGGTAGCTGAGTGTCTGAAGTTTCTTAAAAAGGCCAATAATTGTGATGGAGTTGACAATCTAAGTAAAAAAAAATAAGGGATTGATGCGATGGAGGATGTAGGACAAGCAAGTAATACTGATGTTTATCAGCCAGTCACAGCTAACGTTATGGGGCAAATGGTTTGTTCATATTTTAATTGTAATTGTCTAATTTTGTAAAATTGTATTGTTCATATTTATAAAGCAAGCAGAAAGCAACTGTCACGTCTTTGCTTTTTGTGGATAATGTAGTCCTGTTGGTATCATTGGCCAGTGACCTGCAGCATGCACTGGGGTGGTGTGCAGCTGTGTGAGGCGGCAGGGATGCAGATTAGCACCTCCAAGACTGAGGCCTTTGTTCTTGACCAGAAAAAGGTGGATTGCCCTCTCCTGGTGGGGGATGAGATGCTGCTCCAAGAAGAGGAATTTAAGTGTCTCGGGGTCTTGTTCACGAATGAGGGAAATAGGATTCAGGAGATTGACAGACGGATCGGTGCAGTGTCGGCAGTAATGCGGACGCTATACCATTCTTTCGTGGTGAAGAGGGAGCAGAGCCGGAAGGCAAAGCTTTCGAATTGCCAGCCTCTACATTCCTACCCTCACCTGTGGTCATGAGCTCTGGGTAGTGACTGAAAGAATGAGATCACGGTTACAAGCGGCAGAAATGAGTTTCCTCCACAGGGTGTCTGGGCTCAGTCTTAGAGATTGGGTGAGGAGCTTGGACATTTGGGAGGGGCTCAAAGTAGACATCAAAAGGAGCCAGTTGAGGTGGTTAAGGCATCTGTCTAGGATGCCTCCTGAACAGTTCCTTGGCAAGGTGTTTCGGGCATGTTCAATCAGGAGGGGGTCCCAGGACAGACCCAGGGCACGCTGGAGAGATTATATATCTTGGCTGGCCTGGAAACATCTTGGTACAGTATTCCCCTGGTGGAGCTGGTGCAGGTGGCAGGTATGGCAAGATGCTTGAATAATGCAACTAATGTCATTGACCATAAGTCTGGGTATGTCTTGAAGCAACTGAGTGAACAAAGCCATAGTCAATCAGTTGTTAAGTATAGTGTACAGCTGCCAGAAGTGAAACAGCTGGCTGACTTGGAATGCAGAAGCGAGTGTGCATATAGTGGATTTTATTAGGAAATGCTAGTGTAGTACCCCCCGGAGTTACATTCCGATGAACCTATCGTAAGGCAAAAATAAAGTAAGGTGAAAATGCATTTTAATACAGTACACCTAACCTAAAAAACATCATAGCCTAGCCTACCTTAAAAACATGGTTAGAACACTTACAGTAGCCTACTGTTGGGAAACATCATTAACACAAAGCCTATTTTATAATAAAATGTTGAATATCTCATGTAATTTATTGAATAATACCCTGAAAGTGAAAAACATTTACCCATCGTAAAGCTGAAATATCATAACATGGGGAGCATCTGTATTTAATTTTTCTCCATTCCCCCCCCCCCCCCCATAAGTAAACCTTTGCCTTTATATTATTAAAATACCATCACATTGTACTGTGGTATTATTTGTGGATGTTATGACATTAAAAATTAGATTCAACCCAAGCCCAATGCTGGCTGAAGGTTGCAACAGTAAAATTTCTTATGTGCTAGTTTTACTGCCTTTGAATAGCAGAACAACAGATTTCTGGGACATTGTAAACCATTCACAGGTGTCAGGGAACTATCTTCCCAAAACCTCTGGGAGAGGTGGGATGTCTGTAATGACCTGGGTTGAGTAAGCAGGCCTGTGTAGTGGAGCCTGGCTGGTGTTTCTTCAGTGTCAGTGTTTTTTTCATTATTAACAGTTGCAGTAAACGCTGACAGTGTTAACATTATAGTTTCTTAATGTTTCTACATTTTTAAACTAACTTAAAATATATGTGTGCTAACTGCACACCCTGCTTATCTGTTGTCATGTTTTGTGTGTGCCCACTGCTGGCTCGCACTCGTGATCTCCCGGATAAAAGATCCCCGGGTCGAGCTATGCTGGAGACATGGACTGCAGAGCACAGACAGAGATTCTCAGCTGCAAATCCATTCATAATTCACAAAGTACAAAACAGATATTTTAAATAATTGCTTAAGAAAATGTGTTGATTGTTATTTTTTTAAGTGACCAAGTGGATCTTGTGATCTTGAATTTTCATTCACAATCTTCCTTAGGATCACGAACAATGGCAGTCACTGTGCAGAGCACTAAGACCCACATGCCACCTGCTCTGTGACACTACATTCAGGCCCACAACTGCCCTTTTAACAGAGTGCACACTGTCCACACCAGGGGTCAGAGGTTATATCCTGAAGCAGACTAATCAGACCACCGTCACTGACCTAATTCAGGTCACTCAGCAGCTAGAAGGTATGGGACTACTCAATGATTAAGGGGACCTAGATTCAGTGTTTCTGGTTAATCTAATTATTGGGTGGTTGTCATTTTTAGTATGTACAGCACAATATGTTAGTGGTGTGGTATATACACTACCGGTTAAAGGTTTTTCCACACACTGAGAATTACATTTGCATGTTACTCACTTAACATTCACTAAAAATATACTCTATTCTTTGCTAACAAATACATTTACAGTAAGTTCACCATTTGAATACCTTAATTAGCAAGGAAATGTCATACCTTTGATTCATCAAATTAACCACTTCTAGTAGTTATAACAGCAGGGAAAATTCGTTCTGCAAGGGACATTAAATACTGCTGTTTCATGGGATGAAACAGTTAACTAGTGCAGCCTAGAATTTGACCATGCCATCACCACACAACCAGTTAATAGGATGTCAGACACTCACTATTTGTTCACTCATCTTGCCAATGTTAAAGAATAAAAATCTGCAGTTTGTGAAATAAATGGAAAAGTGGTAAAAACCTGTGGTGTGCAAAAGCCTTTGACTGGTAGTGTATGTGAGACAGAGGTAAAACTGACTTTCGTCCTTTGACTATTATGCCAGCTGCATCTCGATGACCTACCTGCTGCAGATTATAAACTTGTAGGGACTCACAATGGTTATACTATGTGACAGATGCCCCCATGCATAGATGTAGTGGACTCTACTGTACAGCACAGCGCATAAAGGAATATATTCACTGGCTTCACAGTCTGCTGTACCAACATTCTTACTTTCTTTGCCCTTTGAAAAAAATAAGAAAATGATCGAACTCACTGCGTATTTTTAGGGTTCAACGGATCAAAGTAAAAGGAAATTAAACTGTATAGCAGGAACATTTAGAACAGGTCATTTAGGATCACCTGATCCCTGAAAAGTTTTATGCAATTTATGATAAAAAATACCCTTATCCTGTATTTTGTGCTCCTGCTAAAAGTACATTAATATTTAAATATTTTTTATATTTGACCTCTCAAAAACTGATACACAAAAGGCGCAATTTTGCTTATAGATGACGAATTAGATAACCATGTTATAAAATGTGTATGTGACAAAAGTTGTAGATGTGCTGTCCATTGTTTTGGGTGTAGTAAATGCCTCTCAGCATGAGTAAATGGTGTCTGGCGTTGCTGTATGCACTCCACACTCATAATGACCGGGTGGTCAGACAGGTGACTGACAGAGGAATTCTTGGTTTCTGTGCATTAGGTACAGTGACCATATTTGGAACAACAAGTGGAGAACCATGCTGTGACACTTTGTCAGACCTGGTAAGAGCCCATCAAATGCCCTAGTAGGAATATGTTTGGAATATCTATGGAGGGATCATATTACGGAACGTGCAAAACAACCAGCCTAGTCGACTGGGACAATAATTGAAAATCTTATAGACGGCTTGATGAAACCAAACCCTATCTTTACATTCATGCAGGATTCTTAAGAAACAGAAATAAACTGCTTGAAGAGGATCTTAAAATTTGTTTAAACCGGAAGGATGAACTTTAATATAACTGCTGTTTATTGTACATTTCATGGAGGTTTTTCAGGATGTGATTCTCTAATCTGTCTGTAACACAATAAAAAACATACTTTTACTCTGCTGCAATATGCAAAGCTAAAGGGTTTGTGATACCACTAGAGTATAGCTTGTAAACATTCGTAAAAACAGAAATGATACTCCTCTTTTAATTTTGCAGATGCATGATGGATAAACACATGTTCTTTGTGGCAGTAAAAGCCCCTGTATTGTGTGTCTGTCCCTTCAGGCTGTAGGACTGGGTGTTAATTTTGTCAAACTGGGAGGTCTGAGTCGTGGAGAGAGGCTGACTAAATACAACCGTCTGATTTCTATAGAGGAGGAATTGTCCCAGCAGGGAATACTGGGTATGGCTTTTTCTGTGTCTGTCCTTTCAGTTTGCAGAAAAGCGAGTGGACAAAGCGCAGGGTGCAGAGATAGGAATTGGCCAGTTGCTGAGAATGCATCTCTTTTAGTCTATGAAAAGAACTCTGTGTCAGGAATCATAAGGAAAGGATCTGTCTGGATGCGCCTTGGCTCTCTTAATTGGCCACCTAATTACACATAAAAGGGCGAGGACACTGCACAGGCCCTGAAAAGGAAGTTCATCTTTATATAAAATAAAGGATGAACCTCTGCACTACAGCAAAGGCAGACGCGAGGCCTGTACTGCCCTGGGAGGGGAGCGTTTGCTAATTTGGGGTGTGTTCAACTATGATGGTCACTTGAGAGACTCTCGGCTTTCAAACATTACAGTCATAACACCCAACTGTATGACAGCACTTCACAAGGGTGCCGCTCCTAAGTCTTTTCAATGTAATGTTTTTTTTTTCTTTTTTTCCTCCAACAGGTTCAAGAGAGGTAACTGGTTTTCCCAATTCACTTGGAACATGAGAGCAGGACAATCTACGAAACACTCAACAAATTTCTCATTGTTCATGTATGATTAGACAGTTGCCTGATAATTCCAGTAATCTGTCACTTAAAGTAATTCCAATATTTACACCTACGGCAATTTTATATATGCTTCATACAAGTACAAATAAAGTTACTGTTAGAAACACAACCTAGTACTGTATTTTCAAAAAGTAGAACCTAATGGAAACAATACAACAGAGTAAAAACCAAATCACTAGTGGTACATAAAAAATGTATACTGTACAAAACAGCACATTCTAAAAACAGAAATTAGTCAATTACACATACCATCATCATCTGTTTTACGTGGAATAATAAGAAATTTGTTACATTTCATTATTTCCATCATATCGGCGAATCCAGTGTCTGTGGTGAGACCCGTGAGTAAATGGTATCGCGGCTGCTGCGGGATATGGCTTATCGCTCTCGGCTTGGCCAGCCATTGTTTTTTTCCCCCACCTTCCGGTACGTCTGTTTACTTGCTGTCCTTTTCCACGTGAACCGTGTGCTGCAGCAGGTGTGAAGTGGTTCCTGCTGCTGGGAAAATGCGGTTTGATATGTAAAAGCAGCTTTCCATTTGGTTGTAATTCACAATATAAACAGAATGATAACTCTGTTATTAGAATAATTATCCAATTAACACAAATATTAGTGAACATTTATGTAAAAATTGCATATATAGCCGATGTAGTATTATAATACTTCTATTTGCTGTGAAGGTAAAGTTTACGTTTATGGCACATGTAAATAGATTTTGTCATAATTAATAATTCAATTTTCAGATAATTAATAAATGCTACTATGCAATTACAGTCATGAAAACGACCATTACAGACCGGGCTAACAGCAGCTTTCTTGACTCTGTAGTAAGGATAATGTGAAAACTAGGGAGGATAAAGGGTGTTATTTCTCAAAGGATTCTGCGATTTCCAGATGAATCTGTTTGCTCTGTACCCAAGGACGACAACTTTCTGCACTTTTAAACAACATGGTAAAAATAACGTTTAGGTGTCCTTGGCTTCAGTTTGCTAACTTAACAACTAAATTACAGAAAAGACAAACACAGCTTTGAAAAATGAATCAAAACAACTCTTTATACATATAAACATCAATGTATACAAGTAATATATTTAAATATTAATGATTACTTCAAAAATAACTTATGAATAATGTGATAATCCTAGTGATTTTAAATAAAATGTGTTACCACCTTCAGGTTAATCTGATTTTTTTGTTTAATATGTGACCAATATAGTAAAATATAAGTGTAACATAACAGTTAAACAAGTATTTACATTCACCAAATAAATAGAGGTGTACATCCTGCAATTGGTGTGGTAAGATGGGCAACCCTGCATGTGGATTAATCTATTTATCACAAGAAGTCAACAGTTTAAATAAAACAAAAAGTTGCAATTCTGTCACAGCTTATCAGCTACATAAATCTAAATACTTGAAAAAAAATCACTTCTCAGTTAGACTGGTTACTACAATGTTTAATTTGTATTGTGATGCTTCACAGTGTGAGAGGCTGGGGAAGGAAAAAAAATTGGCCTTGATAATTAGACTACAGGAAATAAAAGCTGGTTTTTGTAGTTCTGTGAGTGTGGAGGACGCAGCGCTGGCGGTCTGCACAATGTGCACTTTCGGCAGTGCTGTGGCTGAGGGGACGGGCCGCCTTTTCACTGACCCAACATTCAGCTGTCTCTCACCGAAACAAGATTCCCCCAAATAACGGAGAGGGTCACTTGTGGCATTGTGTGTTACCACTGTGACACAGGTGTTATGCAAAACTAGAAGATAACATTTATTTGAATTTGATCAAAAAACACACAGAATTGATGAATGAAAGAGGAAAAACTACTTGGTGTATCATTATGAGTCATGGCTTTTAAAGGGCTTGTGTATTTCTGGGGCCATGCATGTGATGCAGGCTAAAAAAAGGAAAGAAAAGAACTTTCACTGGTGTTTTGGGTGACTGACTTATCTAATATCAATCTAACAGTGTCAAAATTACTTTATTTTGTATAAAAAAAAAAAAACTAATTTCATGCCCAGCCAAAGCGGGTAGGCAGGTCACATATGAATAAGGGGAAAGACAGTGGCAGCATGGAAGCTGAATCAGTGGTCTCATTGTGAGCGTTTGGTAGCCTGGCACATTCCCGCCACACTGTTGCTACTCACGCCGAATAATTTAAAGGAAGCAATTATTTAGCGCCTTTGAAAGTAACAAAACCACAATGGTCCTGAGTTACAGAATCCCAGCAGCCAGGCAGCATGTAGGAAATGCCAGCATGCTGCCATCTGGAGGCACTCACAGGAGGAACTGAAAGAATGAGTGCTACCCCTTAGCTTTCTGCAAGGAAAGGTGTGCCTTATTCGCACTTTCAAGGAAATTCTGAGTGTTTTACAGGCCCACTGAATGAACATTTCACAGATTTAAGCAGTTTAAGGAACAGCACCCATAAGAATTTGCCAATGGGGGGGCGGGGTGGGAGCTGTGCTGGATTGAGTTACAGCCAGGCGACACCCAGCATTAAGAAAGCTGGATTAAGCAGCCTCCCCAAAGTGTACCTTTGGCCTTTGGGCCCACCTGACTAAATACCATATAAACAAACAGTTTACCTAAGCAAATCTGGTCATATGGATCACATAATATCTTTAACATGAAGCTTTTGTGTTATTGTAATGAGGATTTAACTAGTCAAACTACCACCTGATGGTTTAACATAAAAGGCTGACAGAATATGCTAAATTCTCCAAAACAAAAGCTATTAATAATAATTACTAAATGCTATTTGAAATAAAGCAGTGAGAGCCAGTGTGAAACAAGATGGAGTCATGCTCTGTGGTCACCCATGTGTGTTCCCCACTTGTCCATGAATCCTGGCTGAATGGCCCAGTCCATGCTGAAAGCTCCAGGCTAACGCTCGTCAGCACCATCGCGGGCCGTCAGGTGGTCTGCCTGTGGGGAGCTCACTGATTGGGCTGCTGCCTGTCCCGTGATTGCATTACATACTGAGTGGCTCAGCAGGAGCCGCTCCAGTCTTATTGATTACAATAATTATTATTTCACCGTTGTGGCAACATAATTATGTCAGAATAAAGACGTGTTTGTGTATAAAACACAGGCACATTTGGGGGTGGACAAAATAATGGAAACACCTAACAGTATATTAATGTCAAGGCAGTAATAAGGAGCAGGGTCATCGTTCAGCTTCAGAACAGCTTCAGTCCTACTTGGAGTGTTTTCAAATGCTCCTGACCTGCTTATGGTAGCATACCAGACCATTCTTCATAAAGAACTGTCTCCAGTTCCCTGAGGGATGAAGGAGGTGCAGATCTGCATCTCGGTTCAATGATGCTTAGATGTGCTGATTGAGGAGGCTGTTTGTCATGAAACTACTCCTGAATTTGCTTGGCAGTCTGCCAGGGAGCATTATGTGAATATGGAGCCACCAAGAGGGCACAGGGTTTAAGCCATTGGGTGAAGCTGGTGCTGTAAAACGGCCTCATATTCTATTGCTATTACATGAACATGAAGTGCAATCATCAGACCTGTTGACTCCCGTGAGATGGCTGTCCATAACAACAGACGGATTGATGAAGGCATTTTATACTTTCTGCAAATGGGAACCCTTCTGGATTCAGGAAACAAGGTGAAAGATGACTCTTACCACTATTCAGGAGTCCAGATCACATGTGAGTGCACTGGTCTTGAATAAAGATAATTTATTTCTGAATGGCAGACCTACCACAAATCCCAGTTTTGTGAAGATCAGGATGTGCAATTTTTGTTGAAACTATGTTATGCAGCTGTCTTCACAGTTGTGTGATCATTTTTAAGGCTATATTTTCATGCTGTTTAGCTAATTATCTAATTATCTATCTACTTCTATTCCTAATAAAATAATAATTTTAGCAGCCCCAAATATCCTGAGATAGCACAACAGAAAAACCATGCACTAAGATGTATGTGATAACACTGACAAATCTAAATAAAGTGAATCTTAATGCAATTAACAACAATGACTCTACAGTAGTAAGAGGGTCTTATGGATAGTAAAGGCACTCAGCCCAGTCCTGTGCTCTGTTGCGGTCCTTTGATTTTAGCTGGTTTATTCTGGTTTAAGCTGACTGCCACACACCAGCACAGAGACGTTTTGTGGAAGTGTTGTCCAGACCTAATGCTGTTTAGCACGTTTAGCTTTCTAGCCCCCACAGGGAACCGTCAATTGTGTTGCAGATGCACCGTCTGTGGGGAGGATAAGTTTGGAATGCAGAAACCCCCAATCAGTGGGCTGGGGACCCTCCGCAGGCATGTCCTCATCCCACTTCATTCCCACGCCTGACAGACACGACTCCCCGCCAGGCAATTACTCCGTTCGGAAAATAAATGAAATTCCCCACAAAAACCACTAAATTAAGTGTTTTCTGCTTAAAAAATGTTTCCTAATTGCCGATCTTCATACACGGCTCTGCTAATGGTAATGGTGCTGCTCTTAAGCACAGGGGTGCTGGGCAGAGCATGTGGCAGAAAGGGCAAGATTGGTGCAGAGGAAGGGTGGCTGAGAGCCCGTCGCCCTCACCTGGACCAGCAGAATTACAACAGTGGGTTAGTCAGCAGCCCCCCAGCCCCAGAGGCAGAGAGGATGTCGTTCAATCAGTGTCACTAGGGGTGTTAAAATATGCAATGAGCACAGAAAGCACTTTGCTGGACTCATATATAACAAAATGTTTTTCTCATTTGAAATGGTTGTTTAAATTTCTAACATGTTCAGTTAGCACCGTCTCAAAAACATCCTTACAAAAACCATAAAAATTCAAAAGTCTTAAGCTTTAGTTTGGAGGAAAATTTAGGCTTGATCTAATTAAATAGATGTGAATTTTAAATGTTACTATCTAATGATTAAATGTTACAGAGATCAAACTCAGCAAAAAAACTTTCAGGTGTCACCCTTCATTATTAATAACGCAAAGCCATGCACTATAAATTTGCAGGCTGGAAGTCATATTATCGACCCCTTCTCTGTGACAGAGGGTCCACCTGGAGGTCAGAGAGATGTGAGGTACAGCTGTCCTCTGCTCATTTCTCCAGGACTGACCTGTAAATTCTGAACAAATCTCATATATCCTCACAGTGGAGGAATATAAGACAGGGAAGTCACAGGGTTTGTGCTGGGTCTGACATCCATGCAAATCCCTCTCCTCTTTTACCATCCCTCATCTCCAAGACCATTGTTCAGGTCAAATTGGTTGTGAAATAAATCTATTTAGGGACAAAAGTCTGAACTTCAGTGGCTTTTCCTGATTTGTCCTCCTATTTCAGGGAAAGGTCTAATGAACACGCCTCTATTCAGAAACTACTTTGGCAAACACCGACAATGTTCCAAAAATGCTCTGTTGCCACCCCAAAACGTCCCCTTTAATCAACACATCTGATTTCCAGCAGATGTCCACTCCGGAGCACCACTTACAAAACACCTCCATACGGCTGGTCAGGTGGGACGTGGCAAGAATTGAATTTCCTCTGCAATTTTCAGGGATTTAACCCCTTTGCCCTTAATGGTGCTCAGAGTGGAAATTGTGCCTTAACAACAAACTAAACTCAAAGCTTCAATTAGTGCCCATCACAATTCCATCCCGAGCCCAGTCCCCATCCAGCTTTTCTGCTCACCCTCACCTGAAAACAATGAAGTTACCCTCCAATTTACAGGGTGGAAACTCTAAACCGAACAGCCAGCTCTCCAGGAGAGACACTGTGGCATTGTGTGGATCCTGAATCCAGTTCCTGTGTAAGCTACTCCGGGACGGAGGGCTTAACCCCTGGGCTGGAAAGACAAGAGTTTAAAACCCAGTCATATATCAGCACCACACCCAGCACTTATAGCTGGTCCCTAGCTCCATAGGCACCAGATGGGGATATTCCAGCAAGCCACCAGATCCTATCATCTGGCTGTTTTTTTGAGATGACAAAAGTGTTTCGTCCTAAAAGATACATGGGTATCTGAAAGTCCAGTACACAAGCTGCCCACGGCCCCTTCACCTGGCACTGCCCCATTCCAAACCTATCTACATAGCCAGACGCGTGCAAAAGCTAGGTTGGCAGCGCAAACAACAACAACAACAAAAGAAATCTGCAGCAGCTAAAGGGCAGAAGAGCCGCATATTAGCTGGCATAGCCTGCTGCCACTTCAGCTGGTGCTGCTGTTGACCTGCCGCTGGATGTGGAGCGGGATAAGAGTACATCTCCACTGTGGTAAAAGCCTTTTAACATTCTTAAGAAAAGGCAGCAGGCAGTGCTTAGGGGTGTCACGTCACATCACACCACCTCCATACATCTCTGGTAACAGGCTGGCGGCTTTTGCAGAGTCTGTAGCGTTTAGTGGCTGGTGTGTGTAACACCTAGGGGAGGCTTCCGTAAGAAGGCATGTAAACATATAAACAACAAGCTGCAGGGAGGGGCAAATCCCACCAGAAAATGGCACAGCTCAGAGGGATGGATGGGATCCACTGTTGGTCCTCGAAGCAGGGTACCAAGGCGGGTGCACAAGGAGGGTGAGTAGCGGCTCCAAAGAAACTCAGTGCCGTAGGGGGCGGTACCTGCTTTAGCAGCTAGTAGAGGTCCAACGCACCTCAGCAGTCTTGCATGATCTACATTCATTACAAGCAGCAGAACAGTCACACACAAGCATGCTTTGGTCTCCCAAGAAGAAAAAGGGAAATATTTGTTCCATTGGACACAACCCACCAAAGCTGTCAGCAAAATCTTCTAAGACCAGCCTTGAAAAATTGCCCCTCAACAAAAACATTATCAACCAGTCAAAGTCTTCTGGAACATTCCACATCATTACAGATAAGGCCCTAGCTCACACAGGCTGCCACTACATCCAGTGCAACTAGCACTGCTGTCTGGTGATGCTGAGGTCCCTCAAGTCACTATGTGTTAAATATATATATTCACAGAGTTTTTACTCAGACCCATCTAACACCAAACTTTCCACAATCCCCTGGCAGGGGGTTGTGGTAACCAGTGCAGGGAGAAACTGTTAAAAACAGCACGTTTAGTGAAGTGAACCAGAACAAAGAACAGCTCGTACAATCCGGTTCTAACTCAGAAAGTGTCATAAGTATAAATTAAAATAGTTTGCATGTTTACATATAGTCTGCATGGTGCAATGGCCGCACACCCACACAAACATTTTTTACTGGAGCAGCTTCTTGATGAGAAGGTGAGGAAAAATGACCTTGTACACCCAGTCAAGCCCTGTCTTTGTGTTAGACCAACAAGCCAACAGAGGCAGCAAGACCTCAGATCACAGACACATGATGTTAATTTGAATTGGTATGTTACTGCAAGGTTACATCATACAATCTGATGCACAGCTTTTCACTTCCACCAATGAGAATGTACCACTACCAACCACATGCAGCCAATCACAAAGCAGCTCTGCTGGCAATACTGCTGATATTTAGCTATACTTGTTTTGTTATAAATATAATTTTCATGTTTTATTTCAGGGTTTAATACACAACAATTTACAGTAATGCGGCTTAGTGAGGCTTGTCCTCCATGTGAGGCTGCATTGCATGCAACCATCCCGAAACGTAGAAAGCCCCAACATTCCCACAATTCATCAGTGTATATTAAAACTGTATGAGAAAAGGACATCACCGATGAATGGCATTTCTTTGCTATTAGCTATTAAACTGTCTAAAATCATCAACTGTTCCAAGCAGTAGCCATTGGAGTTGTCTGGGCAATCCACACTCTCCTGCTGAGAGTACAGTTACAGACTCACATCACTGGTCTTGTCACTATGTTCCTTAAAGCAGAGAGAGGGCTGGAGTAAGGCAGGAGATGCAGCTCTGTTACAGTCTGGGTGACATGACTCACTATCAAAACAGCCTCTGAAAGTCACTCTGAGCTGATAAGAAGCATTTGTTGAGTACTGAAACTGACTGCTGGTCTGATGTCTATAAAAATGTAACTTTGACTTTTACTGGACAGTAAAAACTGCTTTGTTCCAGGCCCCCGGACAGGGCACTCACTGGGGCTCCAAGCCTCTGCCTCTACAGGAGGCTAGAAGTGCCCCACGGCTTTATGAAGAAGTGAGGGGACACTCACAGTTTTCCTGGGTGGAATTGACTGCCCGCCGGCGTCTCTGCAGCGCCATCTCCAGTTCTGACTGTGTAGCCCCCACACGAACTCCAGCTGCACACGGGACCAGGGATGCTCGCCGAAATGAGTCCTGCATGCACACCACAGGTTTTTATGTCTGTCCCCATGTGGGTGACTGGTGTTTGAAAATTCCCCCTTATACACATGCAAGATTTACCAGGATTCCTTTGAGTTCCCGAACTGCAGAGGGTGGCGGCATATTATGTTCCTGAAAAAACAAATAACATAAAATATACAGAACCCAGCTGCATTGTGATACATGTGGCATAATGAATAGCATCACACACACACTTTAATGAAATTACAATACGTGTTGTAATACTGTAAACTTGCCCAGTGTTGTGTGATACCTGGGTTCTTCTGAATGTGAGTCGTTACAAACTTTCATACTGAATCTGTGTGCAGGATCTAAACCCTCAGAAACGCCACACACTCTGCACCCCTGTGGCCTGTGGTGACCCTCGCAAAAAAGAGGGATTGTCCTCCGTCATTCCACGAGGACGCCGGCCCACGTGCCCAGGATGGCCAGGTTGGGGGCACCTTAGGCTGCTTGCTGCTCCTGGAGCCCTGCTGCACTGGACGAAGCTGGATCCCCTTCTTGATACGCTGCATCATTTCGTCAACAGCCTGCTGCCGGATGTCTGGCTCTTTCTTCTCTGTTTCGCGGATCAGATGCTATTAGTGTCGAAGCGCGCGAAACCCGACCACCAGGACACACATCCTCAGCATGGTGCTTTGAAAACATATTTTCCCTCCATTGTACTGGACTGAGCTTTTCCCGAAGAATATAGGGCTGAACATGGTGCTGCAGAGAGGAAAACGCTATCTAAGCACTGTCAATATCCAGTCAAGGATGCTGAGTTTTGGTATACCAAGCGTTTACCCGCCATCGCTTCATAGAAATGAACTAATTGGGTCTCAGTTCCCAGTTAACTGCTCTGGCTCTGCTGCGAAGGGCCAGTTTTTCCTTTGAAATAAGTCATAAAAAGCATACTTCACACTTCAAGTTATGTTTGTATCTCAGCACTTGGCTTTCTTGCCTTCTTTCATCCAGTAGTTGTATTTTGTAATTTATGTGGCCAAAATAAAAAAATAGTAATAAATTAAAAAGGCTCCTAGCTATTTATATAAAGATATACCAACAACAGGTCTGTTCAAGGTCTGCCTTTCATAATGGTGACAGGAAGAAGCCAGTCTGAGTTTAGCGGCGCTCAGAAAGGCACCCCATCTACAGGTTTGCTCTATGTCCCGACCCACCTTGTGTGCTGCCTCGTGTGGCCTGCACATTGTACGCTTTAAGAAGACTTGGACACAGTAACAGTGAATTGCTTTTTGCCTCTGAATGAATTTAAAATGTCAATTGCTTGTCAATGTCAGCAAATTGCTATGCTTCCTATGGAAGTGACTTCAGATAACAGGGATCACAGTGAATGGTGCATGCACTGTATTCACATTAGTAGTTTAATGATGTTGACAATTTAAAAAGAAACAAAACATTGTGGGGAATTGTTAATATTGATTAATTATTTGTAACCAGAAGATGGATGGATGGATGGTTTGGTTGGTTTGTTAGTTTCAGGTTGCGTTATTACCTGTCTCCATCTTTGCAGAGTCCTGGACAACAAGAGGAAATTCATCGCTTGTCTGTTTCTTCTTACGCAGAAGAGATAGCAAAGAGCTTAAAAAAAACAAGATTGTTATCTATAGGAAAGTGGCAAGCTGCAGAACTAACTATCAACCAGCGGCCCCAAAAAGAAGTAATGCAGATAACTGTAAAGGATGGGGAAGGTGTACCTGAGGGGGTTCGATGGGGCTGTATTTGGTGGAGGGGGGGGTGGGGGTGGCGGTGGCGGTGGCGGAGGGGGAGGGGGTGGGGCCGCAGTGGGAATAGGGTTAATTGCTGCCTGCAGCTTCTTTTGAAGCTCCTCCACTGCAAATTCAGCAAAATGAAGGTTAACTCTGAATGTCTACATCCTACACATTATGGGTGGAACTGCAGCACTTGGCTGTCAAGCGGCTGATCTGTGCATCACCTCGAAAGCGGAGGTCCTTGGCCTGCTCTTCCGCCTGCCGGCTCCGCTGCTCCCACTCCGCCTTCTCCTCCTCCAGCAGCTGAAGTTGACGGCAAAGCGCTGAAGCCTCCTTCTGCTCCATACTGGGAGGCGCGTTTTGGACAGCCTTCATCTGACACAAACAGCCAATGAGCTCATCCATTCATCTTCATAAATGTACAGTGATCGATAATTAGCTGGGTATGTAGTATGATGGCTCTGTTTCTCCACATCCTCTGTGTGCTTGTAGTTTGTGCATTTGGATAAATGGTTTTTCTAAATTGCCTGTAGCATGTGATTGTGTCCCCAGTGAAACACTGGCATTGCAGGCAAGTGTGTCCCCTGCTTTACACCCTCTGTTGCCTGAGATGGGCTCCAGACCCCTCAGCCATAACGTTGTATTGGATAAGGGGATGGAAGTCGGATCGATGGTTGGATGGATGGGTGGATGGAAGATAACTAATTGTACTTTACCTTCATTCAAGTAGTACAATATAATAGGGTACGAGTTTGGTTAAAAAATCCTGTATACTTACATTAAATAAACAAGAAAAAAAAAATCGCTATGTTAATGAGTTAGCGTGCTCATTCAAGGGCCATGCGGGAGGAACACAAAGAGCCCACATGGTGATGATTGCCATGAAGTGGCTCTGGCTCGGTGCCAGGCTTTATCTTCTCAAATAATGTGTTAATTGTTCTTTAAACAGAAGCCTGGCCTCACCTCCTTCCCCATGCAGCAAAGATCAGTGATCCTACTTTCTTGCAATCATTAAAATCGACATGTAACCCAAAGCATGTGAAAGTCACCGCGATGACACAGTGGTCATTAGGCTTATTAACATCACACAGGGCCATCCAAAACATCATTGGCACGATTAGCATGAAGAGCACTCCGTGAAATGTAACTAAAATGAGCGACCAGTGGACTCCCACAGTTTTTGATTTATTTTTGCCACATAATAACGCTGCAAGGATCACATGACTATGTTGGAGGCAATAATTCAGTGGTGTATTTACAGACCATAAAAATTCAAGTACAGTTTAAGACAGGGGTGGGCAATCTTATCCACAAAAGTCCAGTGTGTATGCAGGTTTTTGGGATAACCTTTAGGTCAGCTGTTCAAACCCAGGTGTGAGGACTCTTCAGCCAATCAGTCCTCTAATTAGGGAGTTTCAGTGAAAACCTGCACACACCGGCCCTTTGTGGATAAGATTGCCCACCCCTGGTTTAAGACCAAAACCAAACAGTAACAGAACCGAAAGCCAATTGAAAAAGAAAGAAGATACGATCATTTTCCTTTGACCTTGCTCCATACTTGACGTAGTCCGGCCAGTGTCTTCCAACATGAGCATACCAGGCAAGCTGCATTACCTGCTGTTGGTGCTCCATCCTCTCCTGCTCCAGGGCCTGAGTCAGCCTGGCCACCTCCAGCAGGGCTTCCTGCAGAGCCTCGCTGGGAGCGGCGCTCTTGAATAGGATCTGACTTTGTCTGTTCAGCTTCTTCTGCTCCACCAGCATCTGCGGCACACAATGATGAGGGGGACACCTTGATGGGGGGTGTCTGCTACCAACAGCACAGCTGCCATGCCTTTTAATAAAGCCGGCGTTGCTTCAATGGCGGCTATTAAAGTACAGAAGAAATGAATGACCATTGACACAAGGCAGATATGTGATCAAAGAGCTGGTCAGACACCACACACCTCCCGGGCAAAGCTCTCAGCCTCCTCCCTGAGGTCCTTCTCCAGCAGCAGGTTTCCCTGGAGAGCCTCATATTCCTCTACTGCCAGCATGGACACTGTGGAGAACAAGGTGAGTTGCACCACATTCAGTAAATATTGGCCAGGTGGAGAGGGCAAGTATGCACAGGGAGGCCTCCTCTTAATGGTGAAGACAGAGGGCACCACCCGCACCAGTGAAGGTGATCCTATGTAGGGTAACAGGGCAGGTACACATGGGATAAGACACAGCGGGATCCCCCCCCCATCAGGCCCCCCACGCCTGCTCAGATTTAATACCTCCTTGCTGTCCACCAGCAGCCATTACAGCAGAAACTCAGAACAGAGCATAGAGACTCAGCATAGGACTGTTCATTCAGCACCTCATCACTGCCACTGCAGTGTCCCTTCACGTGCTCAGTTTTGTTTTTAAGTCTGTCACCTAGCTTCCCTAAAAAGTTCAGTAAAGCATCTGCATCAACAAGCACGGAGGGGGCGCTGCAGACGAGGCACAGCAAAGCTAAGCTGCTTCCCTTCTCTGAAAAGCCATCCTCCAGCACACAATGGGGACGTGTCTGAGGTCAGCGATAGTGTCCAGTTCCGTCCCGCTCCATACCCCTCATGACTCATGCCATCAGAAACATTCAAGGTTGCGAGGCAGAGAAGGCTTCTGCAAGCCGGGCCAGTGAGCTGTGGTACAGCGTCTCCGGGATGGTGTTCACGGCACATGGTTTTACCTCTGTTGTACTTGTTCAAGAGCTCCTTTTGTTGAAGTGTCTTGCCAATCAAAATGGCATTATGGTGTTTCTCCTTCAGCAGCTGAGGGGAGAGTGGGGGGTTTATTTTGTTTTTAAGCGCTACATTACAAGGTGTCCGATGTGCCCCTTGTGCCCTTGGCATATAGATAATGCCTCCTTCATTCTGTCCTAAAGCAGACCAATAAAGCATCTGGACAGATGCTCTAAAAACAAGAGCAGCCACAGTCTCACAGTCATGGTGCAATCCTCGCGGTGTTGGACAATGACACATGTAATATGCAATGTAACACACAGATGAAAAAACAAATGGGACAGGGCTGAAGCTGGATTCAAATCCCAGTAGGCACACGACTGTTGAACCATTACAAGCAGCACCCAGTCTGAAATGCTTCTATAAAACATGTAACGAAATACAATAAAACACAATAACACAATAAAAAGAAAATAAAAATCACAGAAATTAGAATGGGGTAAATCTGAGTGGTTCTCAAAATGGCAGCACTCTGTTTATGTAAAGGCTACCCTCTGGACTTGTGGGTCACGCACCTCCTCCCTGGCCTCCTGTAGCGCCTCCCGCATCACCTCCAGTTGCACAGCAGTTTGTGTCTTCACTTCCAGGATACTCTGCAGTCTGTCCTGCAGCTCTGTGGACAGAGCAGGGGATGTGAACATGAGAACCAGGGAGATAAACACTAGAGCGAGGTCGATAACAAGGCATGTGAACACGAGAGCAGAGGATATTAACACAAGAACAATAATGGCAGCCAATAATGGATCCTGATTTTTAGATGGTCAGCTTGCATTAAAATGTTCAAATGAATACCTGCAGTACTGTATGATACACAAAATGGTTCCAATGGTCCTACTGGCCTGCAGTGTGATGCATTTTGGGTAAAGGCTACAGTCACCTGTGATGATCTTCTTGCAGTGGCCAGAGGAGCATGGCGTGCCATCCTGCCCTTCCTCCGCCTCCTTGTCTTCATCCTCCTCGTCCTCCAGGCTGATCTCGGTGATGACCTCTGGCCCAAGGTGGGCCAGGAGCTGCATGCTCTTCCTCTTTAAGGAGCGGTTCTGCCGATGCAGCTGAGGGACAGAGCAGGAACAGCAAGATTTGCTGTGTGACTGGAACTTTCCTCTGCTTACAGTAGGCCTTCGTGATGGGCTAGGGCCGAAATGCAGGTGGGGACAGTCGAATATGGACATATTGATCAGGAGTCACGGTGGCATTTCTGATTTTTCGCACAGCCCTGACCGCAGCACAACACTAAAGGAGACAAATTAGCATGCAACAGAACGTAACCCAATCAGTCTGGGAGCGCTGATGAAACCACATCAGACATGTTTGAAAGCAAAAGCCTCCATTCAAGCCATGAAGCGTCCTCGAATCTTCCCATTAATCGAAACCTAATCGAAAATCCAGGGGTGTACACTGCATTTGGCCAAGGCTGTGTGCAGAGGGGGCTGCGTGTAAAATCAGGTTGTGGGGGGGGATTGGGGTGTCTGGAGGAAGAGAAAGACAGAGAAAGGAAAAGTGATGAATTTCCCCACACTGAAAAAATGCAGGACAGTGCCGCATGATGGGAGCCTGACTCACCTTGAGCGTCGGTCACACAACAAGGCAATCACAACAAGCTCGCCAGCGGCCGCCAAATTAAACTGCACCTTAATCCAATGTGCTCCAATCATGACGGCGCACCGCACTGGGGCCACTTCCCCAAAGAGGTGGCAGTGGCAGCCGTAATTAGGCGTGGAAAAAAATTAAGTCTTCTTCTGGGGTACAAGGGAGAGAAAGGTCTGTGCAAATGTGCCTTTTCACATAATTACAGTACTTTAAGGAAACCTGTCTATTTTTAATACCATTTACAAAAGGCAATTTACATGTGTATATACCTGTATATTTCCCTCATTTTTTTTTTTTTCAAAAATGCAAGATATGCAATTTGATCTGTTTGAAAGGCAAAATTGACTGCATCAAATCAATGAAATATGGCTTTATTATTACCAATTTAAGATGGCCGTATATATTAATTAAGGACACCATTAAGTATAGTCTAAGACAGGGTGTGAATTAAGCATATTCTCTGATGTCACTTTGGCCATATAGGAATAAAATGTCTGGGGGGGAAAAGCTTATAAAAGGAACATTTATTAATGAAATCCAGGCTGATAAATTGCAGCTGCCCATTTTCTGATGAGACCTTCCAGAATACATTTCATACGCAATCAACAATAAATAATACAAAGATAAAAACACTCTTTGATAATAATCTACTATTGATGAGACAAAATATACAAAATTACACACTCAGAAAAATCAGCAGCGAGCAGAAGACCAACTCTGTGAAGCAGAGGTCATTATGTCAAGGCCTTCATACTCTTTTATCAAACATCAACACAAAATGTCATGTTTTGGATTGCACTTTTGATTTGACTTGTGCCAGCGAGGCCCCCTATTACCACTTTTTAATTCAAGCGCAGCAGAGTTTAAAAAATTGATTACGATTTTCACTGGCCTTGGTGCCAGCAGGGAAATTACCACTACTGAATTGGCAGTACTAAATTAATAAGAGCTGAAGGTCATCTGTCCATCCTCCATCTGCTGCCGCGGCGCTTCGGGCTGATTTACATGTAAATGAGTCATAACCCTATACTATAATTTAGAAAACACTCCCTCTTAAGATGTGACAGAAGATGTTTGCTGAGATGTACATTTCCCTGTGTACCACCTGTTCCTCCACCAAACTGGGTTTTAATTTTAAAAGTAAACAGGACGTCTCAGACACCTGAAATGTGGCAGCCTAGGGGAGACGCCTCCTGGTGTGCCATGGTGACATCGTATCACCACTAGTCATAAACGAAACACCAACACTATTCATATTTATTCAGCAGACACTTTTAGCCAAAACGAGACACAAGCAAGTAACAGCATCATATCTGTGTATGACACACCATGTTTGGAAAGAACACAGCTTAATATTTAGCTGTAAACATAATCATGAGTTTTGCACAAAATGATTTCGCCTATTGTTAGGTGGGGCTCACTGCTAAAACCCATATATATTATTGCGATTAATCTTTTATTAGTCATTTGCACAAGCATGAGGCTTTTGCCTTCTTCTAGTCCCCAAACACACACACACACACACACACACACGTGACACCATAGGGTCTCACATTTTTCCAGCACTCCTGGTGCAGTGTTTGAGGAATAAGAACCTTGCTCAAGGGCCCACCAGTGATATGATTACTATGACAGTCATGGGTTCAAACCAGTCATGTTCTAGTTGTCAACGCCACACTGTGCCTATTTGTCATTTCAATAGCAAGCAAACAATATGGCTGCCACTGGAACAGACAGGATGTGCTGCCAAGCACCATGGCGACGGAGTTCACTGTCAGTGACATGCATCAAGCAAACATGGGCTGCTCCTTCCTGCTACTGTGCATCAAGCATGTGAGAAAGGGCATGGGAACAACAGAGCCAGTCGGGGCACTCAGGAAAGTATTACCTCACCTTGTGTGTGTGTTTATGTTTATCTGTGTCAATCTGAGGGAAGGTTACAAGTAGAGGCATCTTAAAGCAACACACAGTACAGATAATTGTAAACAAATCATATTTATCTCTTTCTTCCCCAAATATTCTTTTGATTATTAATTCATAGGCACAAAACTGAACTGGGCATTTCCCACTTGACACTGGGACGTCTTGTTGCTCTCTGGAGTCAGCTGACCTTCAGGCTTTAGCCACTTCAAATTAATCTCACATAGTGGTATGGCTGAAAGGGGCACTGGGTCAAATGGCACACACACTGTGTAACATACTGCAGATGTATTTGTGCTTGCCTAGGTTCAATGGCAGTCAGGAAAATGGGCCTGGCTTGTCTTTTTGACCTTGGTGTTCACATGTGTCTGATGTATAATTTACAACCACAGCTGCTGAATACCTACAGTATGCTTTATTTAGAATTAAATGCTCCCTCTAAACCATTAAAATGAGCTAGCGACACACAAAGACAACTATCCACAGGGACAGATCCTTAATTCTTTCCTCTGTGCAACCGCTGATCTTCCCAGAGTGGAGCTTACCTTGGAGGCCAGCACTTCGGCACTCTGCCGGCAAGACTTCTCAATCTCCAGGTTCTCCTGGATGGCGCTGACCTCCTCAATCACCATGTGGGACACTGGAGGAACAGCGAGAAGTGGCATGAGGGCGCCAGCATCCCACAGCAAACCCCGAACTATAAGGGTTAGGGAAGTTATGAAGCATAGTTACAGTACATAGGTAGCCTTTAGGAGAATGATAGGCAAAATGGTGGGGGTCTATGAATGCCAGTTCAAGATTAGCGTAAGAGAGACACTGTGAAGCAGGTATAAAGGGACTAGTCCCTGAGTGAGAATGGCCTATGACTGTTAAGAGTTTATTTTTAAAAACAATGCGAAAACAATGTATTTAATAGTTACAGACTGACTTCGGCATAAACCGCAGTCAGGCAGATTTGCCTCGTTGCCACTTAGCTAATTAGCCGCTCGCAGTGGATGTGGAAAAATAGGAATTAGTGGGGCCTGTCAGAGGCATCCCCTCGGACCCTGTGTAATTAAAAACCGGTCAATATTGAAAAGCTCCCTCGTCAGACGTTAAAGAGCACTTAGCTGCTGAAGTCAGCCCTGGCCAGCCTGAGCCGACGCGGCGGTGGCGTGACATGCTAATCACGCTAAACGGCAGGCGCGGTAAATAAACAGGGCCGGCCGTGAATTGTGTGCGGGCACAGGAAATCACGGCCTGCGCATCAGAGCTGGCAGCCTTAATTGTAAGTTTCGGCCTCCCCATATCTCCATCTAGAGATGAGTTTTTTCTACTTTATTTTATTTATTTTATTTTTTTTCCCCCTCACTGGGAAGACAGTGATTACCCCTGCGCCGTCGTGTCACATAATGCTATCGGCGCCTCCGACAGTGCGATGAATTAAATCGTATCTGCAGCGGCACCGAAGCCTTGATAAGGGGGCCTTTGCCTTTGTGGTGTTATCATTATAACACAATGGTCATGTTGTCATCAACCTTGCCATCGTCAATTGAAAAGACATGATTGTGTGTTGAGGCTTTTTTTCCCTCCCCCCGTCGTTCGCTGTGAATAGAAGCAATTTTCCAAGAGCTATGAAATCACGTAATAGGTCCTAATATGCAGCTGGCTGGCACGGAGCGGCGGCTCGCACTAAAGGAGGGGGGCAGCACAATGCATGTTTATGGGTGAAGAACAAATGAAAGCTGAGCAAAGGCCAAGTTTATTCAGACACAAATCCTGCGTTCCACTTCATCAAATAATTGCCTTTTTAAAAGTGTATTTTGACTAAATCTGGGCATTGTTGAGCTTCAGAAATCCAGAAGTTTAAATATTCAGACGATAAGATAATGCAAGCCAGCCAGTGGGACAGCGAGTTGAGAGGTAACCTTTCCAGGACAGCACAGTCAATATTCGGGGAGACGTGGGCAGGGCAGGTAAAAAGAGCCACGGAGAGTGGGCACAGTGCGAATGGGCATCTGTACTCATTGTCAGACCCTTTTCAGAGGCAATGAAACAGCTTTGCAGGGTGAGCAGCAGCCTTGGCAGACAACCGTGCTGCACAGGAAGACGGTGTCATCATGGCAACACAATTACAACCGCGACTGCCGCTTTCACAGGGGCGTGTACGTATCAGAGGAATTGACATGCGCTCAGGTGCTGTCAGCCAGCCAATCGAAGGCCTCCACTGTGAAACAGAACCACTGACAGATTGCGTAGCGGACGCTGAAGTGCAGCGACACTAATGCGGAGGGCACCTGGCTGCATGAAGAAGATCAGTTAGCATACAGTGTGATTAGAGGTCTCTGTCAAATCACAAGGACGTAAAATGACTATGGCAGGAATCGACATATGTACCCAGCAGCGGTCGCCTCCATGCAGGTACAAACCAAGCAGCTTACCCACCCCTAAACGGACCAATTAACTGGGCAGAAATGAGTCGGGGAAAACAAAGAGACAAGCGGCCCAACAGGAAGCACAGCAAACAAAGGCAAATGCGGCAACAAAGCCATTGAGAGGCAAGCGACAGTGAGTTAACGTTTGCAGCTTTTCGACACGCTGTCATTTGGTTTGCATGCCAGCTTCATTTAACACGTCTCGGAGCGCCACTTTCTTTCAGCCCCAGTGCAATCTCACTCAATAGATGTGTGCACATGTTATGTCAAAACATGGCCTCCAGCCCAGAGAGCGTGACACACAGTCCCCAGGGCACGAGAGCCTTCGACTTGACATGGAAGAATGCGGTGTGGCTTTCTAAAACGGAAACTTGCCATCTTTACTGTGACAGGGCCAGTAGGTGAGCCCACATGTAGGCTGATCATGTCATTGGTTAAGGACCCTACATGCGTTATCGTCAAGGAGCCAGTGTGCGTTATCATTTGAGGAGATTGCATGTAGAACGAGTATGTTATTGCTTAAGGATCTTGTGTGCATTATCATTTGAGGAGCCTGCGTGCATTATCATTTAAGGAGCCTGTGTGTTATCGTTTAAGGAGCCTGTGTGTTATCGTTTAAGGATCCTGGACATTAGGGTTTTAGGAATTTGCATGTAGGCCGAGTGCATTAATGTCTAATGAGGCACGTGAAGTGGGGACAGCCAAGTGAGAATGTGAGTGTCAGTTCCCGGCTTCTGCTTTGACCCACAGGGGGAAAGGACTTCAGTTTGTATTTACCAGCAGGGCGGGTTTTGAGCTTTTTGAAGCTAAACATTTAATGACAGATTCAATTATGAGATTTTTAATGTTCATAAATATCATCCCACAGTAAAATAAACAGGCCATAACAAGCAGTCATTAAAAATGTGCTGGTGTGACACTGACAGTGACCCTTGGCTAGACAAGGGGAGGCCAGAGCAGGCAGACAGGGGATATGAAACCTGTTTGAAGATTTCCCAAGCTGTCAGCTTAATTTGTTTGACATTAAGTGGGGTGGAAATTATCACTTCAAACACACACTCACCACTCTGAAATTCTTTTAATTTCCGTAAAGCCTCGTCACGCTCTTCCTCCATTCTCTTACACTGAAACATAAAGAAAGAACGATGATGATGAAAAATGGCTTTCGTGCCAAGCGTGTTTCACACCATGCCTTTACTGGTAAAGGCAATATTGATCTCACCTATGTTGGATGGACGTTCAGTCCATCCATCCATCCATCCATCCATCCGCTTATCCGGGGTTCAGGTTGCAGAGGTAGCAACTTCAGGAGAGATACCCAGACCTCCCTCTCCCTAGCTACCTCTACCAGCTGTTTGGGGGGGGTGCCGAGGCGTTCCCAGGCCAACCGAGAGATTTAATCCCTCCTGGGTGTGCTGGGTGTGCTCCTGGGCCTCCTGCCTATAGGACATGCACGGAAAACCTCTCCGAGTAGCTGCCCAGAAGGCATCCGCACCGGATGTCCAAACAACCTCAACTTGCTCCTTGCTCTAAGGGAAAGCCCAGACACCCTGCGGGGAAAACCTCATTTTGACTGCCTGTATCCACGATCTCATTCTTTCGGTTATTACCCATAGCTCATGACCATAGGTGAAGGGACAAAGATGGACCAATAGATCGAGGTCAGGGACAGTGCCGCTGGATTTGCAAGGGTATAAATCTGGTCCAGTGTTCCACAGCCAGGACGGAAACCGCATTGATCTTCCTGAATCCGAGATTCTACTATCGATCTCACCCTCCTCTCCAGTACCCCAGAATAGACTTTCCCAGGAAGGCTGAGAAGTGTCCACCTATAGTTGGAACATACCCTCCGGTCCCCTTTCTTAAATAAGGGGACCACCACCCCGGCCTGCAAATCCAGTGGCACTGTCCCTGACCTCCACACGCTGTTGAGAAGGCGTGTCAGCCATGACGGCCCCACAACATCCAGAGCCTTTATGTACTCTGGGCGAATCTCATCCACCCCTGGGACCCGGCCACCACGTAGCTCTTTAACCGTCTCTTGGCCGCCACCCGACCCACAATGCACCAAACCCCTGACATTCCCCTTGTGGGTGGTGAGCCCACCTGGGGACGGTCCCACGTACCTCTTTCGGGCTGAGCCCGGCCAGGCCCAGTGGGCCAAGGCCCGGCCACCAGGTGCTCGCCAACGGGCCCCTCCCCCAGGCCTGACTCCAGGGTGGGGCCCCGGTGACCCTAGTCCAGGTGAGGGAAACAAGACCTTGCTATTATTCTTTCTCATCAGGGGTTTTTTTTGGATTGGTCTTTGTTTGGCCCCTCACCTGGGACCTTTTTGCCTTGGGAGACGCTACCAGGGGCTATTGCCCCTGACAACATAGCCCCCAGGGTCACTGAGGCACGCAAATCCCTCCACCATGATAAGGTGGCAATCCAAAGAGGGGTGGACTGAACTTGAAAAGCTTAACAAAGAGGAGAAAGGCGACCTCATTTGCAAGGACCTCTCAAATCCCACCTCTGTAAGGTCCCCTGCCTTCACACCAGCACTTCACCTTACAAATCACACAGAAAAGGCTGTACAATACACACACACTCACTACCAATCACAGTACCCACCATGGCCTATAGGAGGCAGCTTGGTTGGGACAATTCCAGCAGAACTTAATATTATGTTCCATTTACCTCTGAACTCGGAACTGGAAATAACGTCACACCCAAGTTACAAGTCGGAAAGCGATTTAGCAATACTGCGTACTGCGTGTATGACTGATTTAATAAGAAAGAAATAATACATAAGTCTTAATAAACAGTATATTTTACTTCTGTTGATGGTGGGTGCAGCCATCTTTAATTCTGAGGTCCGATTCAGAAGTCCTACTTCAGGGGGCATTCCGGTTGAAATTTCTGACTAGTTGAAATGAAACACACAGTAAGACCCATCCAGTGGGAAAACATGAACAAAGGACATTTCCAGGAACAGTTGATATGAGGTAACATATTGGACTATATTGGGACACCTGGCCGTTGCACCTATAGGAACTTTTATGACATTCCATTGTAAATCCACAGGCATCGCTATGGAATTGTTCCCACCTTTGCAGTTATAACAGCTGTCACTATTCTAGGAAGGCTTTCCACAAGTTTATGGAGTGTGTCTGTGGGATTTTTTGCCTGTTCATCCAGAAAAGCATTTGTGAGGTCAGGGACTGATGTTGGATGTGAAGACCTGGCTCACAATCTCTGTTCCAGTTCATCACAAAGGTGTTCAAAGGGGTTGAGGTCAGGGCTCTGTGCAGGCCAATCAAGTTCTTCCACAACAATCTCACCCAACCATGTCTTTATGGAGCTTAGTTTGTGCACTGGAGCACAGCCATGCTGAAACAGAAAAGGGCCTTCCCCAAACTGTTCAAGCACAGAATTGTCCAAAATGTCTTGGTATGCTGAAGCATTAAGAGTTCCCTTCACTGGAACTAAAGGACCTATGCCAACACTTGAAAAACAACCCCATATCATTATTCCTCCTCAACCAAACTTTGCAGTCAGGCAGATAATATTCTACTGGCATCTGCCAAACCCAGAAACGTCCATCAGACTACCAGAAAGAGAGATATGTATTATTATAGAGTACATCTGGTTCTTTCACATAATCATACTGTTTAATGAAACACCAATATAAAGTAAAGAATAAACCGTATCATAAAAAAAAATCTTTCAAGTTCATTATAAGAATTAAGCATGTACTGTAACTGAAAGGACATTTGGTTGCTGAAGATGCATTTTAAATGTTTAGATAAGTCAGGTGGAACATTACAATGCACTGCTCAGACGATCATGGTATTCTTTGAGACATTATATGCAAAGTTGCATAACATTGCTATGAGTGATGGATGTCTGTTGGACATAAATGAGGATTTATTACTAATACCTTGTCAGAAATGAGCGAAGAGGTAGAACATTATTATTTTATACTATTGACAGTAGTGCTAATAGCAATAGTAGCTGCATTACTCTCCTTTTCCTCAGTGCTAGTCTGTCTAGCAATAAATAAGGCCGTGTAAGTAAGTAAGGCTGGTCTGTCTTGTCTTAAGGAAATTACTGCACAGGTATAACACTGTCTATACATTTAATTATCTTCTGGCATTTTAGGGCAGTTAATTCTCTCAAGCACAAAACGTGAGAGAAAATCCCAGAAGATCACAGAGAAGAGAAAACTAAACTCCTGACGTTGTTACAGCAGAAGACAAATAAAATTTTGGGATTCCAGCAATCCCCCCACTACATGCTAACATACATGCTAATGCACACTGAATAAATAAATATCAGAGGGCCCAGAATTCAGTTTAGAAGTTAAAAATGATACATCAGTTCAGTATCAACCAGATTCACTCTGCACAGACAGCTACAGAAGGTATGTCATATTGCAGGTCTGAAGCAGTCCTTAGAATCACAGCCATTATGCGCTACATTCAGGTCTGTAATTTGTATCGACTCTACAGACAAGATACACTGCACCTTTGACACAAATCGAAAGTCTGTACTGCATTCACATGCTGACACGTTTCGGTTAATCTTACTATTAAACTATAACAATAAATTAGAGAGACTCATGGGGTCACAAAAGCAGAAAAGTTAATTTATAATCCTGACAATCGGGCCTTTGCCCCTGGCCCTGTTACATTTGACAGAGAGCATTTACTAAGATGCAGAATACCTCACAAAACATCTAAAGATTCAAGTTCACAAAAAAAACAATAATAATCAGCTCAAAAAAACTACATTATGAAATTCATCAGAGTGTAGTAAGTACAGAACTACTGACCTCCATCTTATGCCTCTCACAGTCTTCTTTGAGCTCTTCATACTTATGGACAGCTGTTGAAACACACAGAACCTGTCATTTTTACATTCATTTGTTCCTAAAAGGCAAAACTTATTTTTTACTTTGCGGTTGGGTTGCCAGTGAGTTTCCACCATTTATTTCTTTATTTTTAAACCACGTAATCCAACTTTTGGAAACTCACTGTAAGTCAAAGGATTGCAGACAAAAGTATGGCTCATCAACTGAGTAAGAAGGCTCATGACAGTGTTTCATTGTGAGGCTAAAATAGCCTGACAATCAGGCAATCTGCAAGTCAGCAACAGTGGTGTGTGCCTATGTGGAAGCCCATCCACAGTTACTTCTTGTGGGCTTGGTTATTACCGTCATAATTCTAATTAGGGGGTTCCTCATGTTAATGCACAAGCTATTATACTTTTGCCATTTAAGAAAAAAAGCCTACAGATGATTACGTTAAAGCTGGTGACAGGTAAATAACTGTCAGTGTTCTCTGTCACATCACAAATATCTCTTTAACATAGTATAAGCAAGATAGACACCTAATGAGACAGCCAACACGGTACGTAAAAATCGTTTTCATGCATTATCAAACAAAACAAAAAAATCAGGTGTTGAAAAGCAAAATCTTAAACGTTGATTTGATCTGAAATTAGAAGGGCCATAACGAAATCTGCAGTTACACTGGACTAAATACCAGACAGGAATTACTGCTTAGTCCCCAGAGTTACCGGGGGCTGTCAGATTGCAGACCGATGCTAAACTTCACTGCTCGACTTCCGGACGTTTCGAAGGCTGGTGAATCAAGGCCATGGACTTAAGTAACTTGAGAACTGGAATATGAGATTCGGCTGCAGAAAATGAAGTAAAAACCAGGCCAAACTGCCACATTATAGCCAGTCAACGTGTAGTACGCTCATTTCTCAGGGAGTATTTTAATTCCAAGATTTGAGCGCAGTTTCGTACTGCCTTTACATGGGTAAGATACCATACATATAGTGGTTGGGAGGGGCTATCATTACTCAGTTCCACGACACTGTATTAAATGAAAACTAGAGGGTCTACGACGTTTTGGATATAAGCGGGGTTGTTTAAAGTGAACACGCGAACACGAAACTAAAAAGACCTTATCCCGCGCACTGCAGAGTTAAACACTGCGACGTCGCCCTTACCTGAAACTTCACAGAGCTCCAAAAGTGACCGACTATATGCTTACCTCGACTGGACAGCTCTGTAATGACCTCCATTTCCAGACTGTGCACGTATTGAGCAGCAATGTTCTAAACAGGAAGTTCACCTGGGAGCCTGCCCACCTGAACACTCTCGACCCGTACCGGCAATGCCTGGAGTGTTGGTGATCACCTTGTGGAAGTTTATGCAATGCTTTAACTAGGGCTGCAAACTTACGTCAAATGACTGCCGCGAGATTTTTATTTCGAGACAAGTCTACACACCTTTACATGTAAGAGTTCTGTTACCTTGTAAGTATTCTGTAGGGTTTGAATACAGCCCCGACGGTTTTGATGTAGTTAATTTTGGGTGTGTAGTTGAAAAATGTAGACTAGCCGTAAGATTTCTTGCGAGTGAGAGTCTGTAAACATTAGTGTCACGCCAGATGCGTGAGAGTTGGCAGGCCTGCTCAACGTAGTTTCATACCCTTTCTGCACACTTGGGAAACACTAAAAGCCGATATTGCCCTTTCTTTTGGATTGCATGTCGTGGCTCTCATTTTTTATTCAGTTACACGTACCGTTTCCGTAACTAATCCAAAGGGATTGGCCTCTGATTCCTGACTCATTATTCTCACGAAACTAAACAACGATCCTCTGTTTCCGTCTGGAACCACATACGTTTTATATAAAGCCTATCAGGCTAAACCGGACTGTATAACACACTTATAATTAACAAGACAGTTGTATTAAATTATATTGCGCGGTGCAGTTTCACGGCCTTCAGGAACAATGAACTGAATAGGTTGCATGTATTTTGCGACTTTAAAATAGTGTTAAGTAAATAAAGGGCAGAATACATTAATATAATTTATTTGATTTGTGGACAAAAAAAATCTACAGAGAAGGGCGGGAATGTTTAGTAATTTGATCACAACACATGCAACGTAACAGATTGTAAACAACTTACTGTAATTACACTCAACACAAAGGAAAACTAAAGCTTTTCAAAATCGATTCATTTAAATACAATTTCAGCGCAAGAGAGAGAACAGCAATCCTGCCAAAACAGAAATACCACAATGTCCAGCTGCATAATGGCTTCCAAATTATTTGTCTGGTGTGTCAGTTTGCTTTAAGTTACACAAGGTAATTTGCTTGACAAATGATATTTTAAGAAATTACACCAAGAAGTGGTATGTTAAGCTTCCATGAAAATTTTTTATTTCAATTTTCAATGGGATTGAAATAACCTCAATTGCTGATTTTTTGTAAAATATTAAGATTATATTAATAAAATATATATCAAATATGCAATTATGTCCAAATGAATTTAAGGAACGTAAAATGTTTGAGGCGTCATAATCAGAGTTCGTGTACGTGTACATTTCTGTTATTTTTATTTATAAATTGCAAGGGTCCTTAGATATGGTAAAAGAAAAACATAAGCACGTTATGTAGGTAAGTAGTTGGAAGAGCTCATGAAATCAAAAGAACAGTAAACCACCACAGCAAACATGAGAGAAAATACGTATATTCCCTTTGAATCAATCTTTTTGTGTCAGGGGTGAGAGATCTGCATTGTACTCAAACCTCTAAATACCCTCAGGGGCAAAACAAAAGAAAGACAAATATCAGGACTGTCCTTTGGGTCTGAAGTGAGGTTACAGTCCCAAAAAAAGAAAAACACAAAAAGGTTTTTACCCACACAAGACAGTTAAGCACATTTACTTAGGAAAAGGGCCAAGGTTATTGCTGTGTTCCTTGGAGTGGGGTGCAGGCAGCGCTTCGTCTCAGTGGCGCGCCGTGCCCTCTCTCGGGTAAAATTCAGCCAGAGTGCTCTGCGGGATCCTCTTCAGCATCTCCTTGGGGAAGATTCGCAGAAGCTGCCAGCCAATGTCTAGGGTCTCAAACACTGTCCTGTTGTCGTAGGCACCTGAAAAACAGGCAAGTTTGTGTTGCAGCAATGGTCAGTGTCTGCAGCCAATGACTACAGGCCAGTGTAACACTGATGCTCCCCTGTTCACATTCAGCCATGATTCGCATGATACACAAACAGGTTTTCCTGATACCCAAAAAATTAAAACAGCAACATCCATCTCATTTTGACTGGTAATGTAATAAAATTGCAGCTTCCTCTGCAGCATTAACTGAAGCTCCTTTTGATGGTCACATGACCCTACAGGTCATCCTAATATAGTGTCACACTGTCAAACATTCTGAAGCAAACACATCATCCCCAGGACTGATTGTAAATAAAGTAACATCATCTGCAAAAGCCCCTCTTCTTAATTTCCATTTCCATTGACAAGTGGAAAGACACCAGGGTCTTTGGCGTGAAGCATTAATTAGCACCAAGGGGAAATCTATTGAAAGCAACATAATATTTTTTCATTTACTTGATTAAGGACATTACCCGTGATAAGATTATGTTAACTCAATAATCCCATTAGCCTTTGAGCTGCATGAATGCAAGGTTGCATCTATCATGTGCACAACATGCAGATATTGTCAGTGCAACAGCCAGGCTGGTAATTCCATTGTTTCAAGGACAACACCTGATTTAGTGGCTGCAAGCGCCTATATCTCTGACGTATCAAACTCAAGATGACATCACTTTGTGCAACTCCTCTGTTAAGCAGACTGATCCTCCTCGAACACTGACTGCAAAAAGCCTCCCACCCTTCTGAAGACCTTGGGACATGTGAAAGTCCCAGGCAATGGTGAAGCCTCCTAAGGCATGTTAAAGACACCAGCAGCTGGTAAACGTGTCTCACCCTGAGCAATGAAGTTTTTCTCAAACTTCTGCAGGAACTCCAGGTACAGCAGGTCGTCAGAGGTCAAGGCCTCCTCTCCCACCACAGCCTTCATGGCCTGGACATCCTTTCCAATGGCGTAACAGGCGTACTGCGGACACACACAGCAAATGGGGGTGGTGGGGGTGTCAGGAGTGCCGTCGAACCCGTCACTGGGAAAAAGCCTAATGAGTGCTATACCCCTAATGTACCAAACAGAGGTTGATACCAGTAAGACCAGACTTCTTGTTTCAAAGAAGCATGTAGGCAGCCAACATTGGAAAAATTACTGACAGAGGGGACATTTCAGATAATGCAAGGTTTAGCCATGTATTAGAGGCGCTATAGTTTTACACACACTGTGGACTAAAGTATAAACAATATATTAGTGGATAGAGTCTGAAAGGGAACAGCAGGTGATTGTACACTACTGCGGCAAGAGGAGCCTTCCAAGGAGGTGTGCATGTGGCTGTACCGCTGTGTGATCAAGTGGTGTAACATTTACCAGCTGGTTGGAAACATCAGCGTGGTCTTTGCGTGTCATTCCCTCTCCGATGGCAGACTTCATCAGCCGAGAGAGAGACGGCAGCACGTTGATGGGTGGGTATATCTGCACAAGAAAAGCCATCAGATGGCATTCTGGTTTTGGTCGAACCAAGTCATGACACTCATACCGCATGAGCGTTTTGGGTCAGGCCACTGCACCATCCCAAGACCCATGATCGTTGCTCATGAGGTAGTCTGTACCTGTCTGTTGTGGAGCTGCCTGTCAACATAGACCTGGCCCTCAGTGATGTACCCTGTCAGGTCAGGGATGGGATGTGTGATATCTGTGGAACAACGTCACAAACACGATCAGCTTCACCACAACAGGCGTGCTTGGGGGGGAAAAGTGATTGTGATTGTGATGACATGACAGGGCAAGGGGCAGTGAGCAGAGATGGGGCACTGGCAATAATGCACAGAAGACCCAGGACAACATGATGAGGTGAAGATCTCTGCCCTGACCTCTCCTGACCTCTTACGACTTCGTGAAATATATAGTACTGGTGAAATTCCTCTCAGTCCAATTTAACACACTTGAAACTTAATGGATGTAGAAGTTTTACATACCAGCCCGTACAAAATTCTATGACTTTCTCAGCCTATGAAGGATGCCCTCTTTTGTGAGGGAGGTCCTGGAGGCTCCTGTCCCAGGCTAACCTTACCATCATTGGGCATGGTGAGGATGGGGATCTGTGTGATGGATCCATTCCTGCCCTCCACACGGCCAGCTCGCTCATAGATGGTGGCCAGATCTGTGTACATGTACCCTGGGAAACCTCGCCGGCCCGGCACCTCCTCCCTGGCTGCGGATACCTGTGTGAAGGCCGACAGTTATTCAAACCAGCCAGCACCAAATGCGAACAGAAGCAAGGGTACAATGCTGAGAAAATATCACAGATCAGGGGTCACTCCACAAGCCCATGAGAGCACTGACAGTTGGAGATGGTCATAATAAAAGTCAGGAAAAGTGGGTAATTTTCCTGTGAAAGGAGCACAACTTTTAACAGTCTAACCTTCCTAATGCAAAATTTGCATTTGTACCAAATGGAAGAACCCAGCAATGAGCATGCGAGGCATTACAGCCACATCCATGTTCAGGCATTGGATGACCCGGTACAGTACAATGACGCCACTCCTGTCATCGTCATCTCTTCTCCCTTCCTGCCACCATGGGAACCGCCTCACTCATCCTGCCCTCTACCCTTTCAAAGCATCATTTACTCCTGCGTCCACCAGGGACAAAGCTGATGCGGCGGGAAACGGTGCTGCTTCATAAACCACCTGTGACTGTCAAGAGGAAGTTCTTACACATCTGACGTTGTCCAAAAAGACGGAAGATACACATCTAAACAGCCGGGTGGGCAGACGGGCCACTGCATTCAGCCCTTCCTGAAGCCCGGCATTACGACAATGCCCCTCCCTGGATGAGAAACCTTTGTGCACGCTAGATTACATTCAAAAGGCAACCTTCAAGCATGTGAAAAGAAGTTAAACGTTAATGTCCCGACCGCTCATTGTACGTGGTTAAATGCCAAAAAAGGACTTTATAAATATGGCATGTGTGTACCAAGGTTAACGACACACAATGAGTGCAACAGCCATGCTTTCAGACACACATAACTAGCTGAAGCGTGTGCAGAAGGCACATTGAGACATCAAAACATGTTTGGGCCACAAAAGGATGACTGCCGGCATGGAGGTGGGGGCGACAAGGTCTGACTCGACGCCAGCAAAATCAAAAAGGCGGCTTCATAAAAGACTCTTCTTCTGAGCTGAACTTTGCAAAATGATGAACTTGAGGCTTCCCTAAAGGTGTGAAAGGCGCATATTATCCTCCCTTTCGGGGGGGACAAGAGCCATGTGAAGGAGTCCACCTTTCAGCCTACGTGATTTTTGGGAAGGCAGCGATTTTGCAGGTCTCCTTTCTCTCTCTCTCTGTCTCTCACGCTCACTCTCTCTCCCTTCCTCCCTCCCATCACCCTCTTTAACCTTCTTCCTTCAGAGACATTCTCTTCTATCCTCTTCCTGCCCTTCCTAACCACCTTGTTCGTTTATGATTATTAAAAGACAGAAAATCAAGTCATCACTGGCTGCCTTTGTGACGAGGAGCGCCTAACAGCCCTACAGATCGGGAAGGTTAAGAGGCATTTT